AAACGTGAATATACTCACACATTTGTGTGCATATATAACATGTTTTTGACATAGAAAGGAACCTGTTGTGCACACTGCTGAGCCCTCCGTGTTTTCTTCCTCCCAGCTCTCCTGCGAGGGCAGGACATCCTCGGAAGGGCCCTAATTCACAGTGTCGCAGGCACACCTGCGTGACGCACATCCTTGTATACCTACTCAGTATATTTTGGAACACTGAAAATCATCGCCAGCAAGGTCTCCTGTGTTTAAAAAAAGGAAAAGAAAAAGTTACCTTGACCTCCCCGTCGGGGAATCGAACCCCGGTCTCCCGCGTGACAGGCGGGGATACTCACCACTATACTAACGAGGACGGACCTCGCGTGCGCTCCTCCGGCTTAGTTCCTATGTGCGCAGGGTTCTCCTGCTGTCCTTCCTGCCCTCTCCGGGCCACCCAGGCTCGGCGCCGGGCGCCCTGGCTGCTGGGCTCTCCCGGAGCAGACAGGAGGTCCCTTGAGTGGCTGGAGACACTGCAGGTGCGGAAGCTAAGGCGCCTGCAGTGACAGCTGAAGGGCACTTCCCGTATCACCGTTCCCAGGAAAAAGCGTTGTCGGTGAGGGGATGTAGCTCAGTGGTAGAGCGCATGCTTTGCATGTATGAGGCCCCGGGTTCAATCCCCGGCATCTCCACACTTTTCTTTCTGCCTTTTTCTTGCAAATCAGTCGCACAGGACCCTGAAAGTCCCATCAACCTGCCTGCGAAGAAAACTCAAAACTCGCTTGAAAGGAGCTGCGGCAGCGCAAGTCCCTTCCTCCAATCAAAAATCCCCTGGGCCACTCCACCAGAGATCCGCGTTCAGTAGGTCGGCGACGGGGCCGGGAATCTGCCATTTGAAATGAACACTCCCAGTTACTCGTTTCGTAAAGTAGAAAAACACTGGATTTCTAAGAAAGGTTCTGCAGCTGACCATTCATTAACTTTTGAGCGCCTCATGTCAAGTTCTGTGCATGCATTGAGCACCTACTGTGTGCTGGGTAAAGTGTACGTGCCCTGGTATCCCTGGATAAGACAGGCCAGGCAAGCTTTCTCAGCCTTTTTGGACTTTATATTCCAGTCCTGGAGACTAACAACAAGCAAGTAGTGATACATGTTTTTTTTTTTCTTTGAGACGGTGTCACCCAGGTTGGAGTGCAATAGCACGATCTCGGCTCACTGCAACTTCCGCCTCCCGGGCGCGTCTCCCGCCTCAGCCTCTCGAGTAGCTGAGATTACACGCACCCGCCATCTTGCCCGGCTAATTTTTGTATTTTACTAGCGAGGGGTTTCACCATGTTGGCCAGGCTGGTTTTGAATTCCTGACGTCAGGTGATCCACCCGCTTCAGCCTCCCAAAGTGCTGGGATTACAGGCATGAGCCACCGTGCCCGGCCCTAGCAAGTGGCGATACCTTTTTTTTTTTTTTTTTTTTGAGACGGAGTTTCACTCTTGTTACCCAGGCTGGAGTGCAATGGCGCGATCTTGGCTCACCGCAACCTCCGCCTCCTGGGTTCAGGCAATTCTCCTGCCTCAGCCTCCTGAGTAGCTGGGATTACAGGCACGCGCCACCATGCCCAGCTAATGTTTTGTATTTTTAGTAGAGACGGGGTTTCACCATGTTGACCAGGATGGTCTCGATCTCTTGACCTCGTGATCCACCCGCCTCGGCCTCCCAAAGTGCTGGGATTACAGGCTTGAGCCACCGCGCCCGGCCAGCGATAGGTTTTATGAAGACAATAATAGCGATGAGATGGAAACTCAGGGGTGCTTGGGTAGGGGCTGCTTCAGATGAGCCGCCAGGGGAGGCCTCTGCAGAAACAGTGCGTCAAGCGGAGGAAACGGTAGGTGCCAAGGTCCTGAGGTTGCCGGAAGGGCGCTCCGTGTTGAAGGGGCAGGGAGAAAGCCCAGTCCCGGAGCTTAGTGAATGAGGATGAACTTTATTTTGGAAGACGCTGGAAGGCCTGACGCTGGGGTACGGGACTAGATTCGGGTTTGCAAAGGCTCCCTCTGGCTGCCATGCGGAGAATACACCCTGGGCGTGCATGGGAGTGGGGAGACCCGGAAGGAGGGGCAGCCACCGTTCGGGGAGCTGCTGGAGTCTCCCAGGGGTGCGCAGAGGAGGCGCCAGCGTGATGGAGCTCAGGACAAATTCTGGACGTGGTTGCATCATTTCCTAACGCAGGGGCAGCACGCTTCATTTAACCGTTGCTCCTAGTGAGGCGGGTAATTCGGTTTCCTCTCACTGAAGTGTTTATCAGCACATGCGTTTTCCTTGCCTTCTGGTGCCGGTCCCGATGGGACAGATTTCCAAATGGAGCAATGCAGGGTCACATGGCATGGATGCTTTTAAACACGCACTTCTCTGCTGCTCGGACTGGAAGGCAGTGGTGCGATCATAGCTCACTGCAGCTTCAAAATGCTGAGCTCAAGCGATCCTCCCACCTCAGCCTCCCCAGCAGCTGGGACTACAGGTACGCTTCACCACGTCCAGCAAATATTTTTCATTCTTTTTATAGAGACAGGGATCTTGCCATACTGTTCAGGCTGGTCTCAAACTCCCGGCTTCAAGTGATCTCACCTCAGCCCTCCAGAGGGCTGGGATTACAGGTGTAAACCACCATGCCTGGTTTATTTTAAATATTGCTAGATTTTGGGCCAGGCGCAGTGGCCCACACTTGTAATCCCTGCACTTTCGGAGGCCAAAGCGGGTGCATCACCTGAAGTCAGGAGTTTAGAGACCAGCCTGGCCAACATGGTGAAACCTCTTCTCTAGTAAGAATACAAAAAATTAGCTGGGTGTGGTGGTGCACGCCTGTAGTCCCAGCTACTCAGGAGGCTGAGGCAGGAGAATTGCTTGAACCCGGGAGGCAGAGGTTGCAGTGAGCCGAGATCGCACCACTGTACTCCAGCCTGGGCAACAGGGCAAGACTCAATCTCAGAAAAAATAAATTAAAAAAAATTTTTTTTAAGACGGAGTTTTTTGCTCGTTACCCAGGCTGGAGTGCAATGGCGTGATCTCCGCTCACCGCAACCTCCGCCTCCCAGGTTCAGGCAATTCTCCTGCCTCAGCCTCCTGAGTAGCTGGGATTACAGGCACACGCCACCATGCCCAGCTAATTTTTTGTATTTTTAGTAGAGACGGGGTTTCACCATGTTGACCAGGATGGTCTCGATCTCTTGACCTCGTGATCCACCTGCCTCGGCCTCCCAAAGTGCTGGGATTACAGGCGTGAGCCACCGCGCCCAGCACCCCCCCCAAAAAAAATTTTTTTAAAGGCTGTGGCAACTTACATATTCAGTAACAATGTATGAAGCTGTTCCTTTCCTTATATTCTCATCAGCACAGGGTGTGACCATGATTCTTAATTTTCCCCAATCTATTGGGTAAGAAGTAGAACTGAATTACGTGCTTTTTTCCTGCCCATTTTCTAGGGTGAGCATGTTTTCAGGTATCTACCAGCAATGTGGATGCAGTTTTGGGTGTTTTTTCGAGATGGGACTCTCACTCTGACACCCAGGCTGGACTGCAGTGTAACGATCTCAAGTCACCACTTTTTTTTTTGAGACGGAGTTTCGCTCTTGTTACCCAGGCTGGAGTGCAACGGCGCGATCTCGGCTCACCGCAACCTCCGCCTCCTGGGTTCAGGCAATTCTCCTGCCTCAGCCTCCTGAGTAGCTGGGATTACAGGCACATGCCACCATGCCCAGCTAATTTTTTGTATTTTTAGTAGAGACGGGGTTTCACCATGTTGACCAGGATGATCTCGATCTCTTGACCTTGTGATCCACCCGCCTCGGCCTCCCAAAGTGCTGGGATTACAGGCTTGAGCCACCACGCCCAGCCCAAGTCACCACAACTTCTAATTTCTGGGTTCGAATGATTCTCATCCCTCAGACCCTCGACTAGTTGGTATTATAGGTACGTGCCACCATGCCTGGATATTTTTATAATTTTTATTCAAGATGGTGTTTTGCCATTTGACCAGGCTGGTCTCGAACTCCTGGCCTCAGGTGATCCACTTGCCTCGGCCTCCCGAAGTGCTGGGATTATAGGCATGAGCCACTGCACTTAGCCTCAGATGTAGTTTTGCAGTAGAGACGGGGTTTCACCATGTTGGTCAGGCTAGTCTCGAACTCCTGACCTCACTTCTTCATGGCCTTTGCCCTTTGTGCTTTTCTCACCAAACTGCAATAGGTCATCCAATAGTATGATGCTGTTTGTCGTGTTTTGCAGTATTTTTCATGTACTCTTTCATCTTCTTTGTTTATACAATTTACCATGTTGATCTAAGATTTCGGTAAGATAAAATGTCTTCCCTTTCCTTTATAGTTTCTGAGATGTTTAACTTTGTTTTGCTTTATTTTTTGAGAGAGACGGGGTCTCACTCTGTCACCCAGGCTGGAGTGCAATGGTGTGATCTCGGCTCACGGGGCCCTGCCACGGAGGACGGAAGGTCAGGGGCCTCCCCACTCCCTGGTCCTGCCTGGGGCACTTCTCTCGTTCTTCGTGCAGGAGGACCTAGCCCACGCTCTCCCTTCCACCTCGGCCACAGAGGAACAAGGGGGGCACACTGAGGGGTCTGCAGGCCCCATTCAAGGCTCCTCCTCTGTGGCATGGCAGCGGGGCCTGAGCAAGGCCAAGGTCAGCTCTGCTCCCTGCCACGAGGAGATGAGATGCCCACTCCCTGGAGCCACAGCACAGGAAAGGAGCTGGCGGCCACCCTTCCACGAAGGCATGGGGCCCGGGGGTCCCCGGCCAGTCCCTTCAAGGTCAAAGCAGAGCTCAGAGGCTCACCTAATGTCTGGGATGGCTCTGAGGCCCCGGCTGGGCGGCCCCCCTGATGCTGGAGAGGGACGAAAGGCAGAAGGACACGCCCTCCACGTGCCTCCTCGGCCTTCTGGCAGGGTGGGCGGGGACAGCAGGGACCTCCAGCCCTACTGTTCCACAGGGACTAACGTAGTCCAAGGAGCACATTGAACAGAACAGCGTCCAGCACGTGAGATGAAATCATCATCTGTGTAACCGACAGTTCAAAGGTAACGTGGGCGAGACGGCCCGGTCGGCAGCCAGCTTCGTACAGGATGGAGCTGAGATGGACGGGGGCTCCCAGGGCTTGACCTGCCTCCTGAGAGCAGGCCATGGAGCCCGTGCCAGGCAGTCACAGTCGCAGGATGACGAGCTGCTGCCGGCCCTCCAGGCCCCAAACCAGTCCTCGGCCCTGTAGCCAGGTGTCTGGTCAGTGGTCCGTGGTGGGGGGCCAGGCCTTCTCCACAGCGGGGTGCATGGCCTGTGGAAGCCACTCGCAGTACTCGGCCAGCAGGTCTGCAGGGGAGGAAGGAGGACAGCATCAGAGTGCCCTGGGCCCAGGGACTCTCCTGAGGTGGCAGGACGCCGGCCAGCAGTGGTGGGGCCAGATCCTGCCACCAAGCCAGGGCTCACCACGCACAACGCTGAAGGCCTGCCTCGGCGACCCCATTCCGTCCACTCCCACCCCCTGGCCCTGGTCAAACTCACATCTGGGGTTTTTCTTCCAAGCAGCTAGCAAGGCGTCACGGCAGTCAACCTTCTCTGCAACCAGGGCGCGCAGGAGGCTCTCCGTGCGGGGCTGCAGCCTGTGGGGCAGGGAAGCAGGTTGGTGGCAGGTGGCTGGGCACAGACGGGCTGCTGCTGGGGTCGGAAAGCAGGGCAGGCATCACCGCCCCCCACCAGCCCCGCCCAGAAGGGCGAAGAGCTGGCTGGGCGTGGTGATGCACACCTGTATCCCCAGTTACTTGGGAGGCTGAAGTTGGAGGATCCCTTGAACCTGGGAGTTGGGAGGCTGCAGTGAGCCATGATTGCATCACTGCACTCCAGCCTGGGTGACAGAACCAGACCCTGACTCAAAAACAAACTGGCTGGGCACGGTGGCTCACACCTGTAATCCCAGCACTTTGGTAGGCTGAGGCAGGCGGCTCACCTGAGGACAGGAGTTCAAGAACAGCCTGGCCAACATGGCGAAACCCCATCTTTATTAAAAATACAAAAAAAAATAGCCAGGTGTGGTGGTGGGTGCCTGCAATCCCAGCTATTCCAGAGGCTGAGGCAGGAGAATCCCTTGAACCCAGGAGACAGAGGCTGCAGTGAGCCAAGATCACACCATTGCACTCCAGCCTGGGCAGCAAGAATGAAACTCTGCCCCAAACAAACGAAACTCAAAAGCAAAAAACCCACAATTCTCTAGACAGGCCTTCTAAAAAAATTAATAATAATAAAATAAAAGAGAAGGTGAAGGGTCCGTTTCCTCTAATCCTACTGGAACAGAAGACCCTCGACCCCATCTCCTCCCATGTACCCTGGCTGCCTCTGGTCCACATTCCTTGCCTACCAAGGCTGCTCAGTGCATGCAAAATGTCCCATCTAGAACCTGCCTCCACATCTGTGCCCGGCTCTGCCCTGCCTCCTCCGAATCTGCCCACATCTGTGCCCGGCTCCAGCCCTGCCTCCTCTGAGTCTGGGCAGGCTCTCCCTGCCCAGCCCAGTCATACTCCACCCCCTGCCCACCGAGGCCTTACCTGTGTCCTGCCGTGGCACATGGATGGTGCCTGTATCCCAGCCCCAAGAACCTAGCCAGTACAGGGCCACACGGGGAAACGTGCCCTGGTGACTGATGCGGCTCCTGATAGCCCAGCAGGGGGTGCTGTGCCGCACATCCCAACTTGAGTCCCTGGCGCCCGCCTGCACCTTCAGGCCTGTCCCCGTGCCCCAAGCCCCTGCACCAGAGGCTCTGCCAGCCCCAGGACAAGGGAAGTGTCTGTGGGTCTGGGCCACAGGCAGGAGAGCAGAAGCAGGAGGCAGAGGGCAGGGTGAGCCCTGGTGCAGGGGTGGTGGGCGGGACTGGGCGAGTCTGTGCTCAGCTGGGAGGAAGCCCCCAGGGCCAGGAGGTGAGGATGCCTGCCACTGACACCTGGCGGTCTGTGGGAGCTGCCCAGTGTCTCCCTACCCCAGATTCATATCCGCCCAGAACATCAGCGTGTGACCTCATACAGAAAGAGGGTCACTGCAAACGTCATAAGCAGAGATCATCCTGGAGTAGGCTGGGCCCTGAATCCGATGACTGCTGTCCTTATGAGGAGAGAGCACAGTGAGGGACCCAGAGACACACAGAGACATGGCCGAATGCAGATGGAGGCAGGGACGGGAATGATTCGGCCATAGGCACAGGAGGCCGGCGGAGGCAGAGGGACCCGCCCCGAGCGAGAGCCGCTGCACACCCGTGTGTGGCCCTTTGTCCCAGCTGCCCTGGGGCGGTCATCCAGGCCCCCGACCCCTCCTGCCCACTGTGAGGTTCCCACAAAGGCTGTACCTGGCCCATGTCTTCAGCATGGTGCTGGGGCTGGACAGCAGACAGCCCTGATATGAGGCCAGCTTGCAGAAGACCTGGCAAGAGACCATGAGAAGGGGTGGGCCCCGTGCTGCTCCTGCCCATGGTACCCGAGACGAGGGCCAGGGGCCGCTGTGCCACCTACCTGCCCTTCCAGCAGGAACCGGGCAAAGTGCTTGTAGCGGTCAATGCCCTCCGGAAAGTCCACCTCGATGGCCGGGAGTGGCCAGCCCACGCGATCTGGAGGGCGGGAGCCAGTGAGCCAGGGACCCTTCTGCAGTGGCGCTCCCGAGTTCCATCCCTGCCCCACCCGAGACACACACGTCCGGGGACAGGGGATGGGACCATGTGTCCACGAAGCCCAGGGCTGCAGGGGGCTCAGGATGCCCAGGATGCTGCCCCCACTCACAGAACACACTGGCACGGTGACACAGCACCCGCCCCCGCTCAGGGCAATAGGTTGGGGCCGGCTCCTCCAGAGGCTTGTCGAATTGGCAGTAAGAGGGCAGCAGGGCGGGGATCCACTGGACCTCCACGCTGGAGACACCTGGGGGCCGGGGGAGGAGGCTGGGGTCACAGTGGCACCTCCATGGGAGGGGCTCCTATGCCTCCACCCCAGGGTCCCAGCCACAGCCCCATCAGAGCCACCGTGAAGGGATGAGGGGCTGTCTGCAGGCCTTGGTACCTTTCATGTACATCTTGGTGGTCTCCACGATTTCCTGGTAGACTACAAACTCGGGGAGCTCTTTGAAAAGGACAGAGCTGGGGTGGATGAAGACGGGGTCGTCGAGGAGAGGGGTCTGCAGAGAATGGAGAGTGATGTGGTCAGGGAGGAACCCAACCCAGGGGTTCCGCATACTCTCAACCCAGGAGAATCTGACTATCCACTCCCAGCCACAAAAGTAGGAGAGCGTTCCATCAGCCGGGAAATGCGGCCCATCCACAACACTGGAGTCTGATCAGCCACAAAAAGGAAGGAAGCACCGACTCCCGCCATGGTGTGGCTGGGTTTTGAAAGCATCGCGCCAAGTGAAAGAGGCCAGACATGAAAGGCCATGTGTGTTAAGATTCCACTTGTGCCAAACGCCCAGAATAGACAGATCCACAGACAGAAAGCAGGATCATGAAAACGGGGGTGAAGGGGAACCAGGGACCCACAGGTAACAGATGTGGGGTTTCTTTGTGGGGTAATGAAAATGTTCTAAAGTTAACTATGGTAATGGTTGCAAAACTCTGTGAAAGTACCAAAACCGGGCCGGGCATGGTGGCTCAAGCCTGTAATCCCAGCACTTTGGGAGGCCGAGGCGGGTGGATCACAAGGTCAAGAGATCGAGACCATCCTGGTCAACATGATGAAACCCCGTCTCTACTAAAAATACAAAAAATTAGCTGGGCATGGTGGCGCGTGCCTGTAATCCCAGCTCCTCAGGAGGCTGAGGCAGGAGAATCGCCTGAACCCAGGGGGCGGAGGTTGCGGTGAGCCAAGATCGCGCCATTGCACTCCAGCCTGGGTAACAAGAGCGAAACTCTAAAAAAGAACCAAAACCACTGAATTGAATACTTTGAATGGGTTTAAATGCAGGCCAGATGCAGCGGGTCACACCCGTAATCCTAACACTTTGGGAGGCCAAGGTTAGAGGCCAGGAGTTCAAGACCAGCCTGGGTAACATGCCTCTAAGCCCAGCGTTTTGGGAGGCCAATGTGGGTGGATTACCTCAGGTCAGGGGTTCGAGACCAGCCTGGCCAACATGGTGAAACCCTTTCTCTACTAAAAATACAAAAATTAGCTGGGCACGGTGTCACACGCCTGTACTTCCAGCTACTTGGGAGGCTGAGGCAGGAGAATTGCTCGAACCTGGGAGGTGGAGGTTGCAGTGAGCTGAGTTCCTGCCACTGCACTCTAACCTGGGTAACAGAGTGAGAGTGTCTCAAGAAACAAACCACCACCAACAACAAAATTAGTCAGGGGTGCTGCTGTGCCCCTGTAGTCCCAGCTACTCAGAAGGCTGAGGCGAGATTGTTTGCGCCTGGGAGTTCGAGGCTGCACTGAGGTATGATTGTGCCACTGCACTCTAGCCTGGACAACAGAGCAAGACCCTGTCTCTAAAAAAACCAGAAAACCCAAAAAGAATTTAAATGCTGTGTGAATTATATTTCAATTAAACTGTTTTTTATTTTTTTATTTTTTTTTTATTTTTTTTTGAGACGGAGTTTCGCTCTTGTTACCCAGACTGGAGTGCAATGGCGCGATCTTGGCTCACCGCAACCTCCGCCTCCTGGGTTCAGGCAATTCTCCTGCCTCAGCCTCCTGAGTAGCTGGGATTACAGGCACGCACCACCATGCCCAGCTAATTTTTTGTATTTTTAGTAGAGACGGGGTTTCACCATGTTGACCAGGATGGTCTCGATCTCTCGACCTCGTGATCCACCCGCCTCGGCCTCCCAAAGTGCTGGGATTACAGGCTTGAGCCACCGCGCCCGGCCTATTTTTTTTTTTTTTTTTAAAGTTAGGAGTGAGAACTGAACCAAGGAAGATGGGACTCTACTGCAGGCCCCACCTGTTCCTTGGTGGGATATTTCCCAGAGCTTTTGGGGACCCACAGCCGAGAGGGACAGGCCTCCCCAGGACCCGGAAGGCCCAGCCTGCCTGCCCCTCGCCAGGTGCCCTGACCGTGCCCCAAGCCAGCCGGGTGGGGAGGTGGGGGGGGGCACCTTGTAGGCGTTCCTCCACTTGTCCTCTAGCAGCTCCTCACTCTGGACCCTGCGGGCCAGGTGGTCCCCCAGGCCAGCCGTCACAATCTGTCGCAGGAAGGTCACCTGACTCTCGGTGGGCGGCTGCATCTTGGGATCCATGAAGAGCTCAGCCTCGGGGCACACGGCATTGACTGAGGGGAGAGCCAAGGGTGAGGACGGCGCCAGCTCTGCCCTGACCTCCTAGAGCATCGCAGCCATGCTCAGTGATCTGGCCTCAGCCACCTGCTCATCCCAGCCACTCCCCAGAGGCCACCAGCAGGACACAAAGCCCCCCGCAGGCAGGGCTGCAGCCGGCCCCCCTCCACTCCTTCTTTCTTGGGACAAAGCCCCAAGTCCTGCCTGGGCAGCAGTGCATTCTGCTCAGAGATGACCCTCCCCCAGCACCCAGGCGGTCTCAGACTCAGTTCTGGTCCACGATGTAAAGAAGGAGTTTGCAGATGGAATTCCTGGAAACGTTCAATACAGGAACAGGACGGCCGGCAGGCACCCTGGTCTCGTCCTTCCCTTCTCCTTCCTTCCTGGAAGGCAGACGTGACTAAGCCTCCAACTACCTTCTCAGCCCACAAGGTGACCTTAGGACGGACGCCACAGCGAACGGCGGGAGGATGACAGCAGAGAAATGCCCTGGGCTGCTGACCCAGTGGCTCCTCTTCCTTGCAACAATAAACTGCTAACGTCACCAAGCCACTGTAACCAGCGCTGTCTGGAGGTTGAATATAATTCTGAGCTGCTGCACCTGGGATGGGCTGCTCAGGAAAGCCACAGCCAGAGGGACACAGAGCACAGTGACAGGGCCGCCACCATGCACCTGGCACTGGGAGAAGGACCGGCCGGAAGAGAGCCATCAATTCTGGCATCAAATCCTGGGATCTGCTTGAACGGAAGGCAAGTTCCCCACTAGCCTCGGGTAAAAGAACATGGCCTGCCGGGAAGATACCCAGTGTCCACACTACCCTCTCTACGCATGGGCCTCCTGCCATACATTGGAGGACACTTCCTTCCTGTCAAGCTTCCCTGGGTGCTGGTGGCAGGAAGCATCTCTGCTGCTGAGCCAAGGTATAGCGTCCAGGGCAAGACCTCACCCTTCTGCATGAGAAGGGTCTGGGAGGGAAGAGGGGTCCAGGCCAGGGCGGTGACAGAAAATGGCCGGGGATCAGGGAACAGGCAACACCAAGAGACAGCCTGGTGGCGGAGGGCACAGGCTGGAGGCCTGAATCCGCCAGGTGCCACCACCATGCCCGGCTTTTGTATTGTTAGTAGAGGCGGGGTTTCACCATTTTGGCCAGGCTGATCTCAAACTCCTGCCCGCTCATCTGCCTGCTTTGGCCTCCCAAGGCTGAGATTACAGGTGTGAACCACCATGCCCCTGGCTAAAGCTGCTTTTCAAGTTCAGATTCACTGACCCTGAAAAGATCCAAGATGCAGAAAAAGCAAGTTGCCCTGCTCGTGGGCACGTTCCCTCATGCCTGCAAACGCTCCCCAAGTATTGATTTAGGATTATAAATACATTTTGGTGAGTAGCAAGTTTGCAAACATGGACTCTACGTATCACTTTGCTCAGAACAAGTTTAAACATTCTAAGCGCGCAGCTCGGGCTGCCCGCGGGTGCAGGGCTGTGCCGGCGCGGGCCGTACCTGCGGTGGTCAGCTGGCCCCGCAGGCGCCGGGTCTCCATCATGGCTTTGTACCGCAGCCCGTTGGCTTCGCAAAACTGGGGCGTGCAGCCAGAGTACTCACAGGCTCCCACGGCACCTGGGAGACAAAGTGGGGACATGCTCTCTCCCTGACCCCTCCCAGGCCGGGGGGACCCTCCCAACACCCTCCACCAGGCAGGGCACAGACCTAGCAGCACCATAAGGTCGCCAAGCTTCAGAGAAGCCCCCTGCCCTGCCCAGGCCCTCTTCATCTGGGCCACCCGGGCCCGCTTGCCCTTCAGCCTGGCGAGCTCCTCGTCACTGGACGCTGGTCTGTGAACACACACACACACACACTGCCTGGGCTGCAGCCCCAGCTGCCCTCAGGGCCTCAGTGGCGGGAACTCCTTTAATCGCCAGGACAGGGTCACCTATGTGAGCTGGGTCTTCCCTGCCCTTCACGCTCCTGGTTCTTGGGTCTCCAGACCCCGACTGAAACTGACGCCACTTTCTGCTTCTCTGGAGAACCCTATTATTCTCCCCATGGGATTTTGATGAGTAGCTAGGATTACAGGTGCCACCACCATGCCCAGCTTTTATATTGTTAGTAGAGGCGGGGTTTCACCATTTTGGCCAGGCTGATCTCAAACTCCTGACTGCTCATCTGCCTGCTTTGGCCTCCCAAGGCTGAGATTACAGGTGTGAACCACCATGCTCCTGGCTAAAGCTGCTTTTCAAGTTCAGATTCACTGACGCTGAAAAGATCCAAGATGCAGAAAAAGCAAGTTGCAGGATCTGCTGATCCCGTTTCTGCAAACTAAATCTCTGTCTGTGCAGAGCGCAGGGAAAGGTCTGGAACTGCCCTGGTCAATACAGTGGCCACCGGCCACACGTGGTTGTTTAAACTAGTTAAAAACAGGTAAGACGGTAAGTCAGTTTGTTACCATGATTGCCACATTTCACAGGCTCAGGCTGCAGTATGCAATGGCTCACGTAGTGATGTGGTCTAAAGCAAAGTTCCTGGTTAGGGTGGGTGGGACTGCGGGGGCAGGTGGAGGAGGATAAGCAGAGAAAAATCATCCAAATCTGAAGATTCCCCAGTGTCCACCTGATTGTCTCCCCAGCTAGATGCTCTGTCACCTGACAATATGGTACAAACACAGGCAGACTGACCCCAAGGGAAGCAGCAGACTGCATAGAGGCAGAGGCTCATAAAGTCACTGAAGTGATGTCGGGGGCCTGCCTGCACCATTCCGAGTTGATGAGATGGTGGCAGCAGAAGCCTGGCTCACAGCTGAGAGAGAGACGGTCAAAACTGATGACGTGGCCAGGCATGGTGGCTCATGCCTGTAATCCTAAAACTCTGGGAAGCCGAGGTGGGTGGATCATGAGGTCAGGGGACCAAAATCATCCTGGCCAACATGGTGACCCCATCTCTACTGAAAATACAAAAATTAGCTGGCGTGGTGACGGGTGCCTGTAATCCCAGCTACTTGGGAGGCTGAGGCAGAAGAATCGCTTGAATCCGGGAGTCGGAGGTTGCAGCAATGAGCTGAGATTGTGCCACTGCACCCCAGCCTGGTGACAGAGCGAGACTCCGTCTCAAAAAATTTAAAATTAAAAAAAAAAAAAAAAGAAAAAAAGAAAGTAATTAAGGTGCAACAGATCTAATAACAAAAAACAAAAAAACCCGATGTGGTGAAAAGCTGTCTCATGGGGAATGTGAATGCTGAAGACTTACGAAGCCCTTGAGAAACTCAGGTTCCCTCCACAAATTTCCACAGAAATGACCCCTTTTATCATCAAGCTGCCAAAGGGAGATCTATGCAACAGGATGCCAGGAAATGACTAAAGAATTGTTCATTCTACAAAGTAGTATGTAGTCATAATCTAAACTTTTCTAGGTATATGTGGGTGTGAAGAAAAAGAAAAAGAAGTCAATGTTGTTAAATAAATACTGCACTAAACATACCTTCATGGTCTTAGTGCAACTTTTCTTTTTCTTTTTTTTTTTTTTGAAAAGGGTCTCACTCTTTCACCCAGGCTGGAGTGCAGTGGCATGATCTCAGCTCAATGCAACCTCCACCTCCTGCGTTCAAGTGATTGTCCCACCTCAGCCTCCTGAGTAGCTGGGATTACAGGTGTGAGCCACCACGCCTGGCCTTACTTAGTGCTACCTTTCAAGAGTACTGCTTTTCCCTATTTTGGTCTGTTTTAAGTGATTTCACTCAAAGTGTCCTTTTTCTGGAATCTATGACCCTCTGATGACCAGTGAAGGACCCCGACCCCACCTCCTAGTCTATTTCACGTGACCTAAAAGGGGCAGCAGACAGGGGCCACCACGGCCACTGCAGAGATGAGAACGCAGACGGGCTCAGACAGAACGAGGGTCTTGCAAGAGGCCAGCCGACAAGCCGGCGATTCCCCAGGAAGCCGGGGTGCAGGTCAGCTCTCAGCCCAGAGCCCCCATCGGGACTGAGCTTGGCCCCGAATGCCCAGCCGCTAACCTCGCACCTGTCCAGCTCCTCGAACAGCTCCCGCACCGTCATGGTGGCCACGATGGCGATGGCGTAGGGCAGGCAGCCGTGTTGCCGGCCCAGCGCCAGCATCTTGGCGTAGCGGGGCGCCACAGGGAACGTGGCCATGGTCCGGCCCAGCGCGGTGATGGGGCAGCTCAGCCGGTCCTTCTGCAGTTGCTTCACCCTGGAGACGGAGGTGGTGGGTGCTCCGAGAGGAGGTTCTGGAGCCAGAGCCGGAAGGCCCCACACTTGAGGCGGCTCGGGTCCAGCAAAGGGGAGAGAGGGCCCCGCTCGGCGCAGCACGCAGGCATGCTATTGGCCCTACCTTTCTGCTTTCTGGGGCGCTTGCAGGGCACCCAGTGCGATCAACAGCTCCTCAGCGGCAATAAGGGCTTCCACGGAGGGGGGCGTTGGGAAGGGGAAGTTGATGACCTGGGACATGAGGAGACGTGGCAGGGACAGGGTGAGTGCTGAGAGGCAAGGCCGGTGCTCCGGTTCTGCCTGCGGCAGGCCACTCCCTCCACCCCTTCTCCGGGCTCAGCTCATGCCAGCAGAGACACAGAGACCTGGTGGTACCCTCAAAGGCCAGGGGCCGAGGGAACTCACATCATCCATTCACTCAAAAACACGTTCCAAGCACTGGCGAGGCGCTGGGGGCTGTGCTTTGCCCCCGCTGGGTGCGTTTTTTGGCTTTTGTTTTTAAATGTACTATTACACTCACGAGGACTGTGTCATTTGACCAGGAGGGGCTGCAGGTAGTCAGCGAGGCATAATGTGAATAAATTGGCCAGGTGTGGTGGTTCGCACCTGTAATCCCAGCACTTTGGGAGGCTGAGACGGGTGGATCACCTGAGGTCAGGAGTTTGAGACCAGCCTGACCACCATGGTGAAACCCCATCTCTACTAAAAATACAAAAATTAGCCAGGTGTGGTGGCGCTCGCCTGTAGTCCCAACTACTTGGGAGGCTGTGACAGGAGAATGACTTGAACCCAGGAGGCAGAGGTTTCTATGAGCTGAGATTGTGCCACTGCACTTCAGTCTGGGCAACAGAGTGAGATCCCATCTCAAAAAATAATAATAATGTCAATAAATGTATCACAATGGCCAAAAGGTGGAAGTAACCCATGCATCTTATCAGCGGATGAACAAAACGTGGCCCAACCGTACAACGGACTATGATTCAGCCACGAAAACACGTGAAGCAGCGGCACACGCTACACCACGGGCGGACCTTGAGAGCATCGCACTCAGGGAAAGGTGCCAGGCACAAAGGCCACATGCTGCAGGATTCCATCTGCATGAAATGTTCCAAACAGGCAAAGCCATAGAGGGCACAGGGGCCAGGGACTGGGGGTGGTGACAGATAAAGGGTACAGGGTTTCTTTCTGGGGTGATGAAAATGGTCATGGTGGTGATGTTTGCACAACTTTCTGAGCACGCTTTCAACGGGTGACTGTGTGGTGCACAAACTCTATCTCAATAAAGCTGGAGACTGGGTGGTGAGCCTGCAGCAGGCACGCAGGTGTGGAGGGGACGCTAGGAACCCAGGTCTGGGGGGAGACAGGCGAGGGCCTGCTCCAGAACTGACTCAGGAGCCAGGGGAAGCCACTGCCAAGTTCCCAAAAAGGGGACTTGATGTCACTCCAGATTGTGGTCCCAGCCCATGCCTGACACTTTCTAGCCACGTGACCCACAGTCAGGCCTATCTGTCTCAGTGCCTCAGGCTCCTCATCTGGCAAATGGGGTGATAACACGAGTAACTCCCTCCTAGGGTGGCCGGGAGGATAACCTGAGGTCACAGGTGCAGAGCACCCAGCACATACCTGGCATCCATTATTTCTTTCTTTTTTTTTTTTTTTTTTCAGACAGAGTCTTGCTCTGTCGCTCAGTCTGGAGTACAATGGTGTGATCTCGGCTCACTGCAACCTCTGCCTCTCAGGTTCAAGTGATTCTCCTGCCTCAGCCTCCCAAGTAGCTGGGATTATAGGCCCACCACCATGCCTGGCTAATTTTTTTTGGAAACAGTCTTGCCGTGTCACCAGGCTGGTGTGCAATGGTGTGATCTCGGCTCACTGCAACCTCCGCCTCCTGGGTTCAAGTGATTCTCCTGCCTCAGCCTCCTGAGGAGCTGCGATTACAGGCGTGCATCACCACACCCGGCTAATTTTTTGTATGTTTTGTAGAGACAGGGTTTCACCATGTTGGTCAGGTTGGTCTCGAACTCCTGACCTCAGGTGATCCACTTGCCTCGGCCTCCCAAAATGCTGGGATTACAGGCATGAACCACCGTGCCTGGCCTCCCTGGCTAGGTTTTTTTTAATTTTTAGTAGAGATGGGGCTGCACCATGTTGGCCAGGCTAGTCTTGAACTCCCGACCTCAGCTGGTGCAGCAGCCTCAGCCTCCCAAAGCACTGGGATTATAGGTGTGAGCCACCATGCCCGGCCGGCATCCATGATTTTATTAGGTGAAAAAAATCAAGCCCAAATCAGCGTGTAAAATATCACACAATATTCAGAAAACCAGTCAGTAATAAAAAAACAGGAGGTCATGTGCTTGGAAACATAACTGGGGACACAGGCCACACATGGTAGACAGTGGGATGTGCTTCACCTTCTCCCTGATGGTGTGAAGTCGCTGAATTTTTTATAATTTTGAACATAATAACATCCAGAAATATCAGTGCACACAGATGTCTGAAAGGCACATGTGGGTTCTGTCACTTACGAGCTCTGTGTCCCTGACAAAGACCTTCACTTCCTTGCCTCAGTTTCCTCATCAGTTAAATGGGGATCTGAACACCCACGGGACAGCACACAGCATGGCACGGGGTACTGCCTGTCTCAGCCTGCCCTGGAGCAGGGGGAGGGGGTGACCCTACAGGGATCCCCTCTCTACTGAAGGACTGGGTCAGAGAAACCCGTAGCCAGGAAGACCCAGCAACACGTTCTGTGTGCCCCAGGACGGATGGCCCACGGGCAGCATGCAGGACCTGGATGCCTCTCTTCTAGGCAGCCCTCCCCTGGGTGCCCACGGGAGACACAGCACTGGGGAGGCGGTGGTCACAGGAGCTCAGAGGCTCTGAGAGCACCTGCAGCCGCACTGCTGTGTAAGTGGCTGCCGCAGGCCAGGCAGCAGCAGGCTCAGCTCTGGGCTCCCTGCCTTGGGGAAAGGGAGGTGCCCGGACGGGGTGGCTGGGAGTGGGGCTGGGGCAGCAACTAACCTTTTCAATGTTAAGAGCCTTCATCTGAAGGATTAGGTCTTCAACAGGCCTCCGGGTGATTTCTGGAGGTGGAAACTGTTCGAAGTCACCAAAAACTGCAGAGGAATACAGCCTGGGCAGAGAGAAGTCGGGAAAGCAAACAATTCAGTCATGCCGCTGGGATGGGATCTCGACACCCACCAGCCACGGTGCTTCACCCCTTCCTGCCTCATTCTCCTCACCTGTGAAATACAGCTCAAATTGCAGCTGCCTCATGGAGGATTGATAAAGATTAATTAGATACTACTCCACAGGCTGGGTGCGGCAGCTCACACCTGTAATCCCAGCACTTTGGGAGGCCAAGGCAGGTGGATCACGAGGTCAGGAGACCAAGACCAGCCTGGCCAACATGGTGAAACCCTGTCTCTACTAAAAATACAAAAATTAGCAGGGCGTAGTGGCACATGCCTGTAGTCCCAACTACTTGGGAGGCTGAGGCAGGAGAATCGCTTGAATCTAGGAGGCAGAGGTTGTGGTGAGCTGAGACAGGGTCACTGTACTCTAGCCTGGGTGACTGAACGAGACTCCATCTCAAAACAAACAAAAGCTATTATTCCATGTAGAGTGAGTGCTTAACAAAGGGGACGGTGCATAGCACTCTACACTTTAACTATAATTGCTTCCTACTGGTTTTCTTTTTTTTTTTTTTTTTTTGAGACGGAGTTTCGCTTTTGTTACCCAGGCTGAAGTGCAATGGCGCGATCTCAGCTCACCGCAACCTCCGCCTCCTGGGTTCAAATAATTCTCCTGCCACAGCCTCCTGAGTAGCTGGGATTACACGCACGCGCCACCATGCCCAGCTAATTTTTTGTATTTTTAGTAGAGACGGGGTTTCAACCATGTTGACCAGGGTGGTCTCGATCTCTTGACCTTGTGATCCACCCACCTCAGCCTCCCAAAGTGCTGGGATTACAGGCTTGAGCCACCGCGCCCGGCAGCCACGAGGTTTCTTTCTGGGTTGATGGGAAGTTCTGACATTGTGGTGATGGCTGCAAAACTCTGGCCTTCCTAAAAACTCCTGTATCGTACACTTTAAAATGATGCGCTTTATGGTATGTGAATGAGGTCCTGATCAAGCTGTGAACAAAACAAACAGGACTCAAAACCGGTGCCTGGTCCCAGTAACAGAATAAAGAAAGTGTGAGGCCGGGCAGTGGCTCACGCCTGTGATCCCAGCACTTTGGGAGGCTGAGGCGGGTGGATCACCTGAGGTCAGGAGTTTGAGACCAGCCTGGCCAACACAGTGAAACCCTGTCTCTACTAAAAATACACAAATTAGCCGGGCATGGTGGCCAGCGCCTGTAGTCCCAGGTACTCGGGAGACTGAGGCAGAAATATTACTTGAACCCAGGAGGCAGAGGTTGTAGTTAGCCAAGACTGTGCCATTGCACTGCAGCCTGGGCGACAAAACCGGAATTCCATCTCAAAAAAAAAGAAATAGTGTGTGTATCTGAAAGCCAGCAAAAGGGCTGGGGAGCGCCCCAGTCACAGGGGCCCAGCAAGACATGGGGTGCACTACAGATGGAGGCAGGGTCAGCGTCCTTCCTCAGCTCCTCAGTGGCCACTGCAGGGCAGCACCAACGTCCCTGGGGAGGAACCTGGTGACCCACCTGTAGCAGTGGCCGGGCTCTGTCCGGCCTGCTCTGCCTGCCCGCTGGTCAGCTGATGCCTGGGAGACCCAGGTGACACGGAAGGAGGACACACCGGTGACGCGGTCGTAGTAGCGCTTCTTGACCTTCCCACAGTCCACCACGTACTTGATGCCAGGGATGGTAAGAGACGTCTCGGCCACGTTGGTGGCCACGACACACAGCCTAGTCCCCTCCGGCGGAGGCTTAAAGACCTAGGATTGGGGGAGGGGATGGCAGGAAAACACCGGAATCAGCAAAGAAACCGTGGAATGGAGGCGCAAGGACAGAGCCATGCCGCCTGGGCCCCAGGGCCCGGGGGCGGGGAGGGTTCTCTATTCTCCACAACCACCTCAATAGTCCTCAGAACTCTGGGGCTGCTGGTCAAACAGCAGATGGAGGGGACCGCCAAGGGCTTGACTATACCCACTGCACTGCCCTTGAAAGTTCCCCAAAAGCTGGGCACCCGGCCCAGCACGGTTACCTGAGCTTGTTTCTCTGGGGCCAGCAGAGAGTACAGCGGGAGCACGTGCAGCGGGAGGGAGGCGTCTGGCTGCTCACCTGGAGGGAATGCAAAGGCCGCTGGCACCCCAGCCGGGACAGATGCCCACAGGCAGGTGCCGGCCACAGTGGCCCTGCACACCCAGGCTGGCCCAGCTCCTGTCCTGCCCTGCTAGGGAAGTCCCCTCGGGACCAGCCAGGCCAAGCCTCGGGGGACTGCTGAGAGTTTCCCAGGGCTCTCATCCCTACTGCCCTGAGCCAGGTCTGAACCCCGGCCTCACTGCACAGTCTCCTCCTCAATCCTCTGGCGTGGATCCTGGGGCCTGACTGCCCCTCGCATCCGGGCAGCATCGTGGTGGGGGTCAGGTTGGGTCTGGTACCCTCTACTGCCCCACTCAGCCCCTGGCTGGGCACAGCAGGGCACTGGTCCGTCTGCATTCATGGGGCCCCTGCAAGCACACGGCGCTGGACAACACTCCCGAGCCCTGGAGGCCCGTGTCCCTCAGCAGCGGGGTTGGCGGCCCGCTACATTCAGCACGGCAAATGCTCGAGGCCTCCTCATGCGCGGGAAGCATCAGGGACAAAGCTGCTGGAACCCCAGCCGCCGAGGGGCCCACATCCCGAGAGCAGGGAGGGCTCTGGGCACATCCTCAGGGCAGAGCTATTTGAACAGGAAGCGGTTCCAGGGCCACACCTCCATCCTGCCCGCCGTCCTCCAGGTCCAGATCGAGGTCAGAGTCCAGGGCCCCCTCCTCCTCGTCCACTTCTGCCTCCCTGTCCTCGTCACCTTCGCCCACCGGCAACACTGAGTAATGATCCAAGTTGATCTGGGGCAGCACCTACAGTGAATGAGACATGAACACCTGGGCTGCAGGGGACCCTGGTGTGGGGACATGGCATGTGCAGGCAGAAAGACCGATGCCCTCGTGTGGAAGCCCCAATCCCTCCCCACCCATAGGCTCTGTGACCCAGGGCAGGCCACATAACTCTTTGTTCCTGCCTCAGTTTCCCCACCTAAACCCTGGGGACTATCATGGACCTTGTCTCTCAGGCTGCTGGGAGGGTTCTGTGGACACACGAGAGAAACGTGGATCACTGCCTGACACGCCGGTAGGGCAACAGGCAAGCCGGAGACAGGTAAGTGCTCCTGCTACTGTCAGGGACCCTAAGACCCATGGTGCCTTCACGCAGACGCTAGAGACAAGGCCCTCCCAGCCCAGCGTCCTCACTGCCCAGCCTCTTCAGCCAGCATCAGGGCTCTGCCGGCCCTCCCAGGGGGTCCTCACAGGCCCCACGCAGGTGCTCAGGGCCTGGCTTTCTGGAAGCTTCCTCAGAGACTGTTTCAAAGCCCAGCCCACGCTGCAGCCCCGAGAGCTGTGCATTGCAGCAGAACTGCCTTCCACAAGGCGGGCCGCAGGCTCTGTCTCAGAAAAGGAAAAGAAATCCACTTCCGCCATTGCCCCAGGCCCAGACACGTAGGGGTCCGCAGACCTGCGCTGTCCAGCGGGGTGGGTCCGGCAGCCCCCTGCGGCTACAGAGTAGCTGATACGGGCCTGGGGAAATGGAGGAACTGGATTTTCTTTTCCTTTTCTTTTCTTTTCGAGATGGGAGTTCCATTCTTGTTGCCTAGGCTAGAGGGCAATGGTGCGATCTCAGTTCACTGCAACCTCCACCTCCCAGGTTCAAGGAATTCTCCTGCCTCAGCCTCCTGAGCAGCTGGGATTATAGGCGCACACTACCACACCTGGCTAATTTTGTATTTTTAGTAGAGATGGGGACTCGCCCGGCATGAGGAGGCCTCAAGCATTTGCAATGTTGAATGTAACAGGAGCTTCCCACCTGTTGCTGAGGGATGCAGGCTTCCAGGGCCGGGGAGTGTTACCCAGCACCGTGTGCTTGCAGGGGCCCCATGAATGCAGACAGACCAGTGTCCTGCGGTGCCTTTGGTCAGGCTGGACTTGAACTCCTGACCTCAGGTGATCCACCGGCCTCAGCCTCTCAAAGTGCTGAGATTGCAGGCGTGAACCATCATGCCTGGCCTTTTCCTTTTCTGAGACAAAGAGTCTTGCTCTGTTGCCCAGGCTGGGGTACAGCGGAACCATCACAGCTCACTACAGCCATGACCTCCTGGGCTCAGACGGTTCTCCTGCCTCAGCCTCAGCAGCTGCGACCCCAGGCACACACCACCACACTGGGTTAATTAAAAAATTTTTTGTAGAGACAGGGTCTCACCATGTTGCCCAGGCTGGTCTCAAACTCAATGCCTCAAATGATCCTCCTATCTTGGCCTCCCAAAGTGCTGGAATTACAGGCATGAGCTACTGTGTCCGACCAGGAACTGGATTTTTAATTTTTTTTTTTTTTGAGACAGAGTTTCGCTCTTGTTACCCAGGCTGGAGTGCAATGGCGTGATCTCGGCTCACCGCAACCTCCGCCTCCCGGGTTCAGGCAATTCTCCTGCCTCAGCCTCCTGAGTAGCTGTGATTACAGGCACGCGCCACCATGCCCAGCTAATGTTTTGTATTTTGAGTAGAGACGGGGTTTCACCATGTTGACCAGGATGGTCTCGATCTCTCGACGTCGTGATCCACCCGCCTCGGCCTCCCAAAGTGCTGGGATTTCAGGCTTGAGCCACCGCGCCCGGCTTGGATTTTTAATTTTATTTTATACCAATTACACTTCAACTTAAGCAGCCACATGAGGCTGGAGGCCACCATCCTGGAAAACACAGCCTTACTCTCCAGGAGTCCCTCCCAGCCCCCACGTACCTCGGCCCGAGCCTTCCTGGCCCTGGCCCTGGACTTCTTAAACTTCCGCATTTCCTCTGCTGAGTCTTTCTGATCGTCGTCCTTTTCTGGGGAGGCAGGTTGGGGAGAAAGGCATCTGTGGCCAGCGTGGTCGCGAGCACGCTGCTCTTTGTTGTTCAGGACAAGGCCATTCAGTGGTGGCCGTTTCTTTGGGTGTGAAGTGGGGAATGGCAAAGGCGCCACCCGACACTCCCAGAGGGAAACTCAGAGGTGGGAGCCGCACCCCAGCCGGCGAGCTCGAGGCCAAGCCCAGCTGCTCAGGGCAGAGTGCTGGTGGGGGCGTCCTCTTTACCTGGCGGCCGGGATCGGGAGGGTGGGAAAGCCTTCCTGAGCCTGCGACACAGTGCGTGCACCTCCGCCTGCCCCGTCAGGAACACCAGGATGCCACCTGTGGAAGAACGGGCCCCTGCGTTATCCGCCAGTCATCCACAAACACTGACTTAGCAAGGAGCACCTGCTGGGCCCTGCGCTGAGAGTCGGGGCTCCAGGGGTAACTGGGGAGGACAGGGGTGCACGGACGCAGATGAGCAGGAGGCAGCACCCCCAGACTGAAGGAGCTGCTGGGGGGAGTTCAACAAACATGGTGACCGCACAGCCCAGCAGCGCCCCTCCTAGGCACAGACCTGAAAGCCACGAGAAACGTGCGCAAGTCAAAGCCTGCACAGCACACTCGTGACAAAGCCGAAGGTGCCCTGGGGCCGAGGCCGCAGGAAGCCTCATTGCCCAAGCTCCCACCTCGCCTCGCCTCCCACCAGCCCTAGTCTCCCAGAGAACGGACGGGAGCCCCAAGAGCCCCTGAACGCCCAGAGGCCTCACGCAGAGCAAGGACAGAGCATCACGAAGCAGCGACCTTGGCTTCCTCAAAGAACAAGGTCAAGCTTGATGGGAAGCACCCCACGGCTCCTGGCCTCCCTAATATGGAGAAAGCCAGTCTCGGGCCTCAATTCAGCATATGAGGGTCTCTGGCTAGGATGGGTGCGGTGGGCTCATGCCTGTAATCCCAGCATTTTGGGAGGCCAAGGGTGGATCACCTGAGGTCAGGAATGCAAGACCAGCCTGGCCAACATGGTAAAACCCTGTCTCTACTAAAATACAAAAACAGCTTGGCGGGCAGTGTGCGCCTGTCATCCTAGCTACTCGGGAGGCCGAGGCAGGAGAATTGCTTGACTCTGGAAGGCAGAGGTTGCAGTGAGCTGAGATCGCGCCATTGCACTGCAGCCTGGTCAACGAGAGCAAAACTCCATCTCAAAAAAAAGAGAGGCCGGGCATGGTGGCTCATGCCTGTGATCCCAGCACTTTGGGAAGCTGAGGAAGGTGAATCACCTGAGGTCAGCAGTTCAAGACTGGCCCGGGCAACATGGTGAAACCCCATCTCTACTAAAAATACAAAAAATCAGCTGGGCATGGTGGTGGGTGCCTGTAATCCCAGGGAGGCGGAGGCAGAAGAATTGCTTGACCTCAAGAGGCAGAGGTTGCAGTGAGTCGAGATCTTGCCATTGTACTCCAGCCTGACAAGAGCAAAACTTCGCCTCAATAAATAAATAAGGCTGGGCTTGGTGGTTCACACGTATAATCCCAGCACTTTGGGAGGCCAAGGTGGGCGGATCACGAGGTCAAGAGATCGAGACCATCCTGGTCAACATGGGGAAACCCTGTCTCTACTAAAAAATACAAAAAAATTAGCTGGGTGTGGTGGCGTGCGTCTGTAGTTCCAGCTACTCAGGAGGCTGAGGCAGGAGAATTGCTTGAATCCGGGAGGTGGAGGTTGCAGTGAGCCAAGACTGCACCACTGCACTCCAGCCTGGCCCCTGGCGACAGAGCGAGACTCTGTCTCAAAAAAATAAAATAAAAATAAAAACTAATAAATAAATAAGAGTCTCTGGCTGGAAGCGATCACAATCTATTCAAACAGAAAGGGTCATGTCCATTTCAGTACCATGAGGCAAGTAATGGAGCGGCTGTAATGTGGACAAGGCGGAGCTGTGAAGGGGAGCCCTGGCTCTCAGGGGACGTGCCTGCCCCCTGCAGTGCCTCAGTGTCTATGGTCACCTGCCAGCACCGGCCTGCACCCCGTGGGTTTTTCTGCTTATCAGATAGGGAAAGATGGCAAACTCCACCCTCTGGAAGCAGCTGAGGCCTCATAGGATTTTGGGTGGAATGAGGCAGGACAGGTGTTGTGAACACTCTGGAGCCAGTGAGGAAGCCGAGGCCTGGCGGGGACAAGGGACTGCTTGGAGCCACTCAGGAGATGGGTCCTCCCACCCTGTGCCTTCAGCGAGGGTTTAGGAAGGGAGGCTGTTCCCTAAGGCTCCCGGTTCGGGCCTCACCTGCGGGCAGCATGCGGTGGATCTTCCAGACCTTCCGGAAGCACTCCCCGCTGTAGTCTTCCAGAGGCGTCCGCTTGTTGAAGTGCACAGTCACTGGGAACTGCCTAGATTCTACCTGTGGGACACCCAGGAAGGCGTGGGGGGTGACTTCGGCCCAGGGCTGCCTTCCCTTTCCCCATCACCCAGAATCAAGGTTTCCAACACGCCCTCCAAGCTGCTGTCACTCCCCCACGTGACCAAGTGAGACCCTTCAGGAGGCTCTCGACACCGGGGCATCATCGCTCCGTCCAAGCCCACAGAGAACCCGGGACCCTGCATTACCTTGATGACCGGGGGCGGCTTGGCGAAGAGCCTCGGGTTCTGGGTGAAGTCCTCCACACGCAGTGTGGCTGACATGATGAGCAGCTTCAGTGGCAGCTTCCTCTGTGGGAGGACAGGCTTGGTGACCATGGCCCCAAGCCTGAGAAAATGGCATGGGGTGGCCCTGCTGCCCGCCCCATTCCCCTCCAGCCACCGCCCTCTGCCCCTTTCTGGATGCCAAAGGCTCCTTGGAGAAAGTGAGCCGACAGCAGGGTCTGCCATTCTCAGGGAAGCAGCTTGTTCCGGGGGGGTCCTTCCAAGTCAGGCTTCCATGGTGGAATACGAGGCAGGAGGGCTGCAACTGGGGCCACCCGACCCGGCTCCCACCTGACACTGAGATTCAGCGGCTGTCGGTTCTGACGGCTCAGGGAGCAGCTGCCTGATTCTCGGGTCTGTTGGGGGGCCCCCTGGTTCCCAGCTCGCTTAGCAATGCCTGATAGCCTCAGGGTGAGCTCTGCTTCAAGCCCTTGCTGCCTTTGCTTCTAACCCCAAACCCAGAAGCTAAGGAGTGGTAAGAGTGCCTCTGTGAATGAGAGGAAAGGCGGGAGGCGTGGCACCCAGCACAGGCCCCTCTCTTGCGTCCATGACTGTCCCTGTCTGCCCCACCCCCATGCCTTCCTGACCCCACATCGCCCTCTCTGCTTGGCCATTCTAGATACACTGACGGCCCCCAAAGACGTGAACCAAGACCACAGTGAGATATCACTTTCCACCCACGTCTAGAATAACAACAATGGCGGATGACAAGTGTGGGCAGGATTCCACATCCTGGAAGCTCTGACACCATTAGTGGAGAAGTCGCATGGAATTCTGCCATGCTGTGGAATATCAGCTGCAAACGGTTACACACAAGTGACCATGGTCCAGCTACGTGGGAGGCTGAGGCGAAAGGACTCCTTAAGCCTAGAAGGTCGGGGTTGCAGTGAGCTGTGACTGCACCACTGCACTCCAGCCTTGGGGACAATGAGACCCTGCCACGAAAACAAAACCCACCACCACAGAAAACCGTAAAAGGTACAGGGTTTGTTTCTGTTTTTCAGACAAAGTCTCGCTGTCACCCAGGTTGGAGTGCAATGGTGTGATCTCGGCTCACTGCAAGCACCACTCCCTGGGTTCAAGCGATTCTCCTGCCTCAGCCTCCCGAGTATCTGGGATTACAGGCATGTGCCACCACGCCCGGCTAATTTTTGTGCTTTTAATAGAGACAGGGTTTCACCATGTTGGCCAGGCTGGTTTCAAACTCCTGACCTGGTGATCTGTCCACCTCAGCCTCCCAAAGTGCTAGGATTACAGGCGTGAGCTGCCGAGCCCGGCCTAGGGTTTCTTTTTGGATGAGTGACGACAGGTAAAACTGACTGTGGTGATGGCTGCACACTCTGTGAATGGACTAAAACCACTGAATTGTCCACTCCAACGGATGAATGTGAAAAATAGCCCAATAAAGCTTGTTACCAAAAGAAAAAAGGCACCAGGCAGATGCCCGCCTCAGGGGCTGTGCACTGCTCTCCTTCAGTCGGATGGCTCCTCGCTCTGCCAGGCACACTGCGCGCCCTTCCCTCACTCAGCCCTCCCCTCCAGCTCCGAGGTCACCTTTCGGGTGAGGCCCTGGCTAGCGCTGCGCCCTCCCTCCACTGCCACGGGCTCTGTCCGTCCCTGGCTCACAGACTCTGAGTCTGCATCCTGCCTGCTGCCCTTGCTGAAATGGAAGACCCAGGAGGGCAGGAGCATGTTAGAACAAGACAGCATCTCATTCATTGTCAATGTTCAGGGCCACGATGTTCAGGGCCTTGAACGTGGCCAGGCTCGTGGCGCACGTGGAGTGCAGGCCTCTCTCGCCACCGGGAGCGTGGGACAGGCCTACTGTATGGAGCCCCAGCCCAGGATGGTCCCCCACTCAGCAGGCCTGTGTCGGGTTGGGGCGGGGAGACAGTGAAAGCGGCCCGGGGGAGCCCCTCTCAGAGCTCTGGGAGCCTGACTCTTAGCTGGACAGGCCCACCTGCTCTGCTGATCCCAGAGGCCCAGCGGCCTTGTCACCCGGCCCCAGTGGGCCTGGCCAGGTGCCAACACTGCGCCTGAGCCTCTTGCTTTGGGTGGGGGAAGGACACCAGTTTATGAGGCTGGTACCGGGCGGTGGGGAGGGGACCACACAGGGGCTGCTCCAAGGTTCACAGCCCTGGCACAAGGCCTTGTTCCCAGGGACCTGCTTTCGGGAGCAGGTGCAGCAGGGAACAGGTGAAAGGAGCCTAAGCCCCTGACAGAGCTGGGGGTGCCCAGGGCTTGGGGCTCCCCAGCACCCCACCTCCCCCGCTACCTTGGCTCGGAGAGACACGATGCGGGACAGGAGGCCGATGAGGATGTCCGTGTACACGCTCCTCTCGTGGGCCTCGTCGATGATCACCACCTTGTACCGCAGCAGCAGGAAGTCCTGGGGAAGGCACGGGGGTGAGGCCCCCTCCCAGCCTGAGCCCCCCGGGATGCTTCACCTCCCAGCACTCCTGCTTGAGACAGCATTACAGGAGGGGCAGCTGCTCTGCATCAGAGCTGACCTGCCCAACTCGGGTGCCCACAGAGTGGGAGGGCAGGTGGGAAACGAACATGAGATTCGGGTGGGGGTGGGAAGTCAGAGAGCAGGTGCCACCCGGACCAAAACCACATCCACCGCCATACCCGGGAATCCCAGTGTCCTCAAAGCCAGGAGGGCTGGAATCATCTTTGCCATCCTCAAGACTGGCCCCGCCTGAGGGGACGTCCCAGCCCCACGAAGCAAGCACGGCCCCTTCACTGGACAGCAGTTCCCCCACCCGGGCCCTGCATGCTCTCCGGACACATGTGCCCTGACTTGACCGGATGGCCGGCTCCCTAGGAAATGTGGGGGGTTTCCCCAAGGCCCAAGTGGGCTGGCTGGGGAGGCAGCAGCTGGGGTTCTGATTTACAAACGGAAAGTCCTTGGGGCACAGCTTCTGTGGTCAGGGACTGTAAAGCCACACCCCTGCTGGAGGGCAAGGCCCAGCCAGCGGCCCCTCCTCTGTTCCTCAGCCTGAAGCGGACCCCCATTCCAAATCTGCTGCTGCCCCTTCCCAAACGCAGCGGGACTTGAAGTTCCCCAGATGGGGCTGCGTCCGGGTCCACTGCAGGACACAGGTGCTCAGTACACCCCGGGCAATACGTGAAGTTTTGCCCCCATTATAATGAAGTTACAAAAGGTCACATTTCACGAGCACCTACTAGGTATTTGACACTGTGCTAGGCTGTTAGCATGCATCCCACACCTTCACTTCAAAATGATTCTCTGAAGAATGCACCAACACACTCATCAGGAAACTGAGCTTGGAGAGGCCGAGTGACTCGCTGGAAGTCGCACAGTGGCACAGTAGGAGTGCCAGCTGGTCATTTCTCAGGTGACATCGTAGCACCCTGCCCCTGTGCCCACTGGCCTTGCTCTGTGAGCCAGGACCCGCAGCCAACCTTCTGGATTTCTTTGAGCAGCACGCCATCTGTCATGAACTTGATTCTGGTGTCCTCGGTCACATTTCCTTCATACCGGATCTGGTAGGAGACGACCCTGTATGGGCAAACTTTGCTTAGGGCAGAGCCGAGGATGCTGGGGCTGTCGCCAGGTGGCCACTACAGGGAAGGCAGTGCAGCAGGCTGGTGGCTTGAGGCCAGGGCCCATCGCCAACCTGAAAGACGGCCCGGACATGTCCCAGTCCACTCTCCCCCTCCAAAATCCTGGTTTCAGAAGGGAAGGGGAAGGAGTTGTTAAGGCCAATGGAGGAGTCAGGCCCCAAACACCCTAGCCAGGCCCGCCTCGGACGACCACTGTAGTGGAAAACGCTGGAGAGATTGGAACACGGACTGGAGTGTGTTCGGGAGACTTCACAGACGTGGTAGCTGTGACGGGGTACTGCAGCTGTGTGTGTTTTATAAAAAGTCTTTTTCTTTTTTAATTGAGATGGAGTCTCGCTCTGTTGCCCAGGCTGGAGTGCAATGGTGCGATCTCAGCTCACTGCAACCTCTGCCTCCCAGGTTCAAGTGATTCCCCTGCCTCAGCCTCCTGAGTAGCTGAGGTTACAGGCGCACACCACCATGCCCAGCTAATTTTTTTGTAGTTTTTTAGTAGAGATGGGGTTTCACCATGTTGGCCAGGCTGGTCTTGAATGCCTGATCTCATAATCTGCCCACCTTGGCCTCCTAAAGTGTTGGGATTACAGGCATTAAGCCACCACACCTGGCCAAAAAGTCTTTGTCTTAATTTAAAAATTAGCCTGGGCCAGATGTGATGGCTCACGCCCGCAGTCCCAGCACTTTGGGAACCTGAGGCACACAAACCACAAAGTTAGGTGACCAAGACCATCCTGGCTAACACTGTGAAACCCGTCTCTACTAAAAATACAAAAAATTAGTTGAGCGTGGTAGTGTAATCCCAGCTACTCAGGAAGCTGAGCCAGGAGAATTGCTTGAACTTGGGAGGTCAAGGTTGCAGTGAGCTGAGATCGCGCCACTACACTCCAGCCTGGGTGACAGAGTGAGACTCTGCCTTAAAAAAAAAAAAAAAAAAAAATTAGCCTGGTGGGCTGGGTGCAGTGGCTCATGGTAATCCCAACATTTTGGGAGGCTGAGGCGTGCAGATCACAAGGTCAGGCATTCGAGACCATCCTGGCCAACATAGTGAAACCCCAACTCTACTAAAAATACAAAGATTAACCAGGCATGGTGGCATGTGTCTGTAATTCTAGATACTCAGGAGGCTGAGGCAGGAAAATCGCTTGAGCTCTGGAGGCAAAGGTTATAGTGAGCGGAGATCATGCCACTGAACTCCAGCCTGGGTGACAAAGGAAGACTCCGTCTCAAAATAAAAAAATCAGTTCTGGCCGGGCGCGGTGGCTCAAGCCTGTAATCCCAGCACTTTGGGAGGCCGAGGCGGGTGGATCACGAGGTCAAGAGATCGAGACCATCCTGGTCAACACGGTGAAACCCCGTCTCTACTAAAAATACAAAAAATTAGCTGGGCATGGTGGCGCATGCCTGTAATCCCAGCTACTCAGGAGGCTGAGGCAGGAGAATTGCCTGAACCCAGGAGGCGGAGGTTGCGGTGAGCCGAGATCGTGCCATTGCACTCCAGCCTGGGTAACAAGAGCGAAACTCCGTCTCAAAAAAATAAAAAATAAAAAATAAATAAATAAATAAATAAAATCAGTTCTTATCTCTCAGGTCTGTACAGGGAAATATGGAGGATAAAATAAGGTATCTAAGATTTGCTTCTAAACATTGGTAGGGAGGGCGGCCAGGAGGAGAGTGCAGACCCAACAGGGTAGGCCAGGAGGTGACAATTATTACAGTCGCGTCTTGGTTACCTGGGGGCTCATGATACTATCCTTTCTTCTTATGTATATGCCCCCTATTTTTATAATATTTAACAAGTTAAAGAGAGGATGAGGCAGCTTTTATAGATGGACACCGACTATGCACACAACCGTCCAGAAGAATGTGCAGAAAACGGGCCGTGGCGGCTGCCACCAGGAGAGAGAGGCAGGACACTGGGTGAGAACAGCCCCCTCCCCCCATGGGGTACTCCGTCCCTGCTTTAGTGTCTTCCCAGCCTCACCTACAAATACACGTCCCCTGATGCCCTGCTGACCTGGAGGGCCGGTGGTTCTATCTAGTCCACCAGTGTGTCCTGAGTGCCCCGGACGGGCCAGGCACACTAGGCGTTGCCCAGTAACATCGGCTGAGTGGGCAGATGAGGCAGGCCCTCACTCTGCAATCTCTTGCGCTTTCTGCATTTCAGGCCATGTTGGACGTGTCAGACACAGGCCTCTGCCTTCTCAACACAGGCTCCCAGCCACTGTAAAGCACGTGCTGCACCTGCGTGTGCAAGATCGCTTTCCAAAGCAAGTCCTGCAGACGTGCTGCCAGAGGCTTGGTACTTTAGAACCCTGAGCGTTAGAATAACTTGGCAACGCTAGGTACTAACTCCGTGACTGCCTGCATCTGACTCCCTGCTCTGTGCACCCGCCCCTGGACGGGCCACTCTGTCCCCTCAGCACACTGCTTGGGCAGGTCCTGGAAAGCTCTCCTGCAGTCCTTCCCAGTGCTCCATGCAGAGGCGACACTCCACCCAGCACCCTCGGCACAGATGCCGCTCACCTCCTCGTGGACATCCCACGTCTGGGCAAGGCCACAGGACCACCCCGTAGCCCTCCCCAGGAAGCAGAGCTCTCACCGCTGCGACAGATTCATCTCCTTGGCCACTCGCTGGGACATGGCCATGGCGGCCACTCGGCGGGGCTCCGTGACACCAATGATGCTGTCTTCGCTGGGGGAGGAAGAACAAGGCTATCAACAGTGCTCGGCCCCACCTGCGCAGCCCAGAGCCTCACGCAGTTCCACAGCAAGATTCCCCATCCTGACTTGGCGCTCGCCCAGGCCCCACGGGAAACAATGCCAGGTTGTAGCACTTTTAATCGCAAAGGGAACAGCCCAAAGGTCAGCCACACCCAGAAAACGGTTCGACATTCCCGGTGCAGCAGACACCAGGCGGCCGCTAGAAGGAACGGGGCCTGGGGGAATCAGGCCAGGAGCTCCGTTTGCCCCAGTCAAGCACACGCTCCTCCAGACACAGGAACCCGCCAAGCCAATGGGTGGCTGCTCCCAGCTCTATGCAAACACTAACATCACAGGCCCGGGGCTGCTCTCCCTCAAAAGCTGCTGGTGCGACTGGCCCTCGGTGGTGCCTGAACCCAGACAACAGGAGAGCTCCCTCCACTCCCTGTAAGTGCGGAGCCCACTGCGCCGGGCTGTTTGCGCAAACAGGGTGGTTTATGCCGAACACCTACTTTCTTTCTTGGCATCTAGGCTTTCATTCCTGCCAGGCAGGGTGGGCTTAGGCGACCCCAGTAACAGCTGTGGGCCCTGAGTCTCTAACAAGCTTCCCTGGTGGAGGACATGTCCTATGTGGTCACAGGTGGTGACTGGAGAATGTGTGTCCTGTGTGAGTCCACCAGGAGGGGACTCTGGAATCAGAAGCTGGGCCTCCCTAGGTACTACTGCCGTCTGCCGATTGTGACCTTTGCTGTAACATACCATAGCCATGCACGGGATGGCATGGTGAGTCCTGGGAGTCCCCCATCAATCACTGAACGTGTGCGTGGTCTTGGAGACCCCAACACACATGGGTCAAAAGTGCCAATAGGAGGCTAAGCAGTGAAAATAGTTAGCACTGACTGGGCGTGTAGCTCACGCCTGTGATCCCAGCACTTTGGGAGGTTGAGGCGGGTGGATCATCTGGGTTCAGGAGTTCAAGACCAGCCTGATCATCATGGTGAAACCCCGTCTCTACTAAAAATACAAAAGTTAGCTAGGTGTGGTGGCAGACACCTGTAATCCTAGCTACTAAGGAGGCTTATGTAGGAGAATTGCTTGAACCTGGGAAGCAGAGGTTGCAGTGAGCAGAGATTGCGCCACTGCACTCTAGCCTGGGTGATACAGCAAAACTCTGTCTCAAAAAAAAAAAAAAAAGCTAGGCATGCTGGCTCACGCCTGTAATCACAGCATTCAGGGAGGCTGAGATGGGCGGATCATGAGGACAGGAGGTAGAGACCTGCCTGACCAACATGGTGAAACCCCATCTCTACTAAAAATACACAAAAAATATTACCCAGGAGCCGGGCGCGGTGGCTCAAGCCTGTAATCCCAGCACTTTGGGAGGCCGAGGCGGGTGGATCACAAGGTCAAAAGATCGAGACCATCCTGGTCAACATGGTGAAACCCCGTCTCTACTAAAAATACAAAAAAAATTAGCTGGGCATGGTGGCGCATGCCTGTAATCCCAGCTACTCAGGAGGCTGAGGCAGGAGAATTGCCTGAACCCAGGAGGCGGAGGTTGCGGTGAGCCGAGATCGCGCCATTGCACTCCAGCCTGGGTAACAAGAGCGAAACTCCGTCTCAAAAAAAAAAAAAAAAAAAAAAAAAAAAAAAAAAAAAAAAAAAAAAAAAAAAAATATTACCCAGGAATGATGGCACAGGCCTGTAATCCCAGCTACTCAGGAGGCTAAGGCAGGAGAACCACTTGAACCCGGGAGGCAGAGTTTGCAGTGAGCAGAGATCACACATTGCACTCCAGCAAGGGTGACAGAGTAAGACTTTGTCTCAAAAAAAAAGAGAAAAGAAAAAGCGCATAGCTCTATGTGTCAGGGACATCAGGGACTAAGTGTGCTACACAGTCCACACACTTAATCCACACGACAACCTTGTGAAGTAGGTGCTATTATTCCTATCTCACAGCTGGGGCCCAGAGAAGTTAAGTAGCTTGTCTGAAGTCACACAGCATGCATAAGGCTGATCCAGGATCAGGTCCTGGGGAGCCCAGGCTCTTGTAGACTTTTGGGGCATCTCCAGTGTCACCCAGGGACCCACGGAGAACCCTGTGTCCAGCCCCTACCTGCTGTAGCCTGCTTCGTAGAGAAACTGAGGCACCTGCGTGGTCTTCCCACTGCCGGTCTCACCACACACGATGATGATGGGGTGCTCGGCCACGGCCTCCATGATCACTTGTTCTTCAGAGAGAATCGGGAGCTTCAGCCGTTCTTCCTGGAAGGAGAGCGAGTCAGCACTCAGGGAACAGCCAGACTACAGACAGTGACAGGATCTCCGGGAAGGTGGCAGCTGACACGTTGGGGGTGAACAGATGTGCCTGCTAGGGAATGGAGGCCTTGGCAGCTGGGGAGGGGACCAGGAGCCATGGCCCAGAAGAGACAGAGACAGAGACTGCATCCTTCGGGACACCAGGCCTGACATCCCCGGCACAGCTCGGCTGGTGCAGAGCAGTCTCTCAGAGACATGGGAACCCTCAGCTCTTGCTGGCGGGAGTCTCAATTAATGGCACGGCCACTTCGATAAACAATCCGGTGCAAATATTCTCAAAGTCCAGGATGTGTGGCCCTGCAGCTCCTCCCCAGGTACACATGCCAGAGCAGGGGCTTCTACATTCTTTTCCTATGACCCATGGAAAGAAACATTTTATATCATGACTCAGTACACACACAGGCACATGTATGTATCATACATGGAACTGTGAAAACACAGCTCACCCTAATGTGCATGCAGTGGTGCGATCTCAGCTCACTGAAACCTCTGCCTCCCAGGTTCAAGTGATTCTCCTGCCTCAGCCTCCCGAGTAGCAGGGATTATAGGCAACTGCTACCACGTCCAGCTAATTTTTGTATTTTTAGTAGAGACAGGGTTTCACCATGTTGGCCAGGCTGGTCTTGAATCCTGACCTCAGGTGATCCACCTGCCTTGGCCTCCCAAAGTGCTGGGATTACAGGCATGAGCCACCATGCCTGGCCAACAAGCTCATACTCTTAATTTTGTTCTATTTCTATTCTATTCCATTAAAAAAAAAAAAAAATTAGGCCAGGCGTGATGGATCACACCTGTAATCCCAGTGACTTGACAGGCCAAGGGAGACGATTGCCTGGGACCAGCCTGGGCAACATAGCCAAACCCTATCTCTACAGAAAATAAAAACGTTAACCAGGCATGGTGGCACACATCTGTCGTCCCAGCTACGCATGAGGCTGAGGTGGGAAGACTGCTTGTGCCCAGGAGGTAGAGGGTGCAGTGAACTGTGATTGCATGCTGCACTCCAGCCTGGGCAACAGAACAAGACACTGTCTCAACGAAAAAAAAAAAAAAAAAAAAAAAAGGAGAGAAGAAAAGAAAAAACAACTTAATTCATGACCCAAAGATGGCTATGACCTCATTTGCAAACACTGCCGAAGAGAAACTTCTGCACATGTGCTCATGAGAGAGGGACAGGGACATTTAAAACAGCAGTGAAGGCTGGGCACAGTGCTTACCCTGTAATCCCAACACGTTGGGAGGCCAAGGTGGGCAGACTGCCTGAGCTCAGGAGTTCAAGACCAGCCTGGCAACATGGCAAAACCCTGTCTCTATTAAAAAATACAAAATTAGTCAAGGATAGTAGCACGTGCCTATAGTCTCAGGCTCCTTGGGAGGGTGAGGCAGGAGGAGCACTCGAGCTGGAGGTTGCAGTCCGCTGAGACCACTGCACTCTAGCCTGGGAGACCCTGTCTCAAAAATAAACAAACAAACAACAACAACAAAAACCGCAGTGAAGATAATAGCAAAAAGCTCAAACAACCAGCTATTTAGCAACAGAATATTTATCCTGCGCTATACTCACACTGCGGAATACTCAATAGCAGTGGGGAAAAAAGTAAATGAACCTCAGCGATCTGCGTCAACATGGATACATCCCAGAATATAACGCTGAGTAACAGAATGCGAACTCTGGAATAATGTAAATGATATGATGCCACTTTTAAATACAGGTAAACCTACGGTGTGGACTGCTTAGGAACACGGTTAGGAAAAAATTCACAAAGAACAGCAGGAACTGAAGTCCCAAGGGATGGTAGGGACATGGGATGCAGGAGGCCAGCCCACAGCCCACGTAGGAACTCTGGAGCTCCAGACGTGTCATCGTCGGCCGTTTAACAGAACTGCAATCCTGCTTCTCGGTGTGTTCTTCTGCCTCTTTAAGTCTTCATCAGGCTAAGCTGACTGCTCTAGCAAATGACCCCCAAGTGCCAGTGGCTTCACAGCACAGTTTACTTCTAGGTGATGTCATACACCCCCCTTGCCACTAGATGACTCCTCTAGGGTTCCTATGTGGGCTATGGGCTTTCCGTGCCCCAAACCCTTTCACTGTCATCTCAACCCAGTGAGACCCTCATTGTACCAGGAAGGAAACTGAGGCACAGAGAGGGGGAGCCCCTTCAGTAGCCGGAGTACCCTCATTTTATAGACAAGGAAAATGAGGTGCAGGAAGTCAACTGGAAAGCAGTGGAACCAGCACTTGATTTTGGATCAACTGATGCACTGCCTGAACTCTTTTAAAAAAATTTTTTTGAGACAGAATTTTGCTCTTGTCTTTTAAGCTGGATTGCAATGGCATGATCTCGGCTCACCACAACCTCTGCCTTCCAGGCTCAAGCAATTCTGCTGCCTCAGCCTCCCGAGTAGCTGGGACTATAGCCATGCGCCACCAAGCCCGGCTAATTTTGGTATTTTTAGTAGAGACGGGGTTTCACCATATTGGCCAGGGTGGTTTCGAACTCCTCACCTTGTGATCTGCCCGCCTCGGCCTCCCAAAGTGCTGGGATTACAGGCGTGAGCCACCGTGCCCGGCCAGCCCAAACTCTTATCAGGATGCGGCAACCCAGGTCAGGCCCAGTGGTCAGAGGGCAGTGGCAATGGCGATGATGCTGTCACCACCGACCTCCGGGGCCCCGAGCCTGCCACCAGACACACGCCCTGTGCTGTGATCCTCCTCACGCACCAATCCCTTCCATAACCTCAAGGGAGGTGCAGTCACTCTCCCCTTTCCAAGACAGGGACACAGAGGCACAGAGAGGGGACGCTCCTGCCCCACTTCACCAGGACGCCCCCTGTGCGCCCCTTGCCTGCTAACCTAGATTCCTAATCACAAACACGGGGTGGCGAACCTGCATTTCCGGGGAGCGGTTCACAGGGATGAAGACGGCGGGCTTGGCCGGGGCCCTGGGCAGGGCGGGGGCTGCGGCTGGAGGAGGAGGAGCAGGCATCCCAGCCGGCGTGGGCGGACTGCTGGGTGCTGGAGCTGGTGGCGGGGGTGCCACAGTGCTCTTCGCACCAGCCTCAGCCGGCTCAGCAGCCGGGTCCTCGTCCAGCTCCGACTCCTCCTCGGACTCCTCCTCGGCCGAGGGCTGGCGGCGACGTTTCCGGTGGGCACCACTGAGGCTGCTTATCTTCTCCTGGCCCAGGGCTGCCACCTCATCAGGCTTCCTGTTGAGACAGCAGAGACTTTAGGCACAGAGGCCCCATTTCAATGCCCAGAGGTCAGGACTCCAGGGCCACGCCCCTCTCTGCCTCAGGGCCTTCGCACCTGTGGTTCCTCTCCCGGAAACACGCTTCCTGCAGATACCTCCTCTCACTCCACTAAGGCTCTGCTCAAACGTCACCTGTCAGGGAGACTCCCTGGCCACACAGAGCCCGCACCTCCCCTTCTCCCTCCACTGCGCTCCTCCCTGCTTCATTTGCTCTTCAGTGCTTCCCAGCACGGGACACGGATGCACTCACCTGACGACTTCCCTCTGTCGCATCTCCCCCCATGACCCTGGCAGCTCCTTAAGAGAAAGCACTTCGCTTCTGTGCTCTATCCCCAGGGCCCAGCAGAGAGCCTGGACAGTCTGACTTGATAAACAGTCACATGAACAGTGCTCGCAGGCCCGGGGAGGACTCATGTAAAGGAGCAGCACAGGGTGAGTGCGACCACGGAGCCTGGTGGGACTGGGTGGGAGGGGCACACCATCCATTTAAGGGTCAGCAGCTTGGTGGGGACACTGCTGGTGTGGCCAGATCATCCAACTAGTCAAGACTAGGTGGGAACACAAATTCACCTTATCACCTAGGATGGAGTGCAGTGGTGCAATCACGGCTCACTGCAGCTTTGACATCCCAGGCTCAGGTGATCCTCCCACCTCAGCCTCCGGAGTAGCTTGGACCACAGGCATAACCCATCGTGCCCAGCTAATTTTTGTATTTTTAGTGGAGATGCAGTTTCACCATATTGGCCAGGCTGGTCTCAAACTCCTGACCTCAGGTGATCCTCCCGACTTGGCCTCCCAAAGTGCTGGGATTACAGGCGTGAGCCACGGTGCCTGTCTGGCTTGGTTGTTCTAAGCCACCATTGTTTGCAGTAATTTGTCACGGCAGTGCCAGGAAGCTAACATATTGACAAATAGCCCTCGTGCCTTAAAACACGACATAGGCCGGGCGCGGTGGCTCAAGCCTATAATCCCAGCACTTTGGGAGGCCGAGGCAGGTGGATCACGAGATCAGGAGATCGAGACCAACGTGGTCAACGTGGTGAAACCCCGTCTCTACTAAAAATACAAAAAATTAGCTGGGCATGGTGGCGCGTGCCTGTAATCCCAGATACTCAGGAGGCTGAGGCAGGAGAATTGCCTGAACCCAGGAGGCGGAGGTTGCGGTGAGCCGAGATCGCGCCATTGCACTCCAGCCTGGGTAACAAGAGCGAAACTCTATCTCAAAAAAAAAAAAAAAAAAAAAAAAAAACCACGACATAAACCAAACAAAACCCACTGATGGGCCACATCCAGCCCCTGATCATTTAACAGCAATCTCTGGCTTAATCAGCTGTGCAAAAGCTGGAAGAGCCTGTGATGTGGGCGTCTGCACTACAAGAAAACACGGACCTCACTGGAGTGACAAACTGTGCTGTCCTGTGTGTTGCAGAAGGTTCAGCAGCAGCAATGGCCTTTACCCACCGGAGGTGTTTAGGATGACAATCAATTGTCAGCTTCTCGGGCCAACACAAAGGTATTTTCTCAAATGCCCTGCCCCCAGAGGACCCCATAGCCCATGGGCCCTCCCTTGGGGGCCCTGGAGGGAGGGAAGGGTCAGGAAAGGACTGGCCGACTCACTCTTTGGTGTAGGTACATGCGGTCCCCAGTGCCCAGCTTGGAAGTGGTATAAAAGAGTCTCATCTCGGCTTCGGAAGCCTGGACCTCACTCAGCTTCTGCAGCAGCTCTGCTCGCTGGGAAAGCAAACGAGTGTTACGCATCTGCCATCACGACCCTCTCCTAAGAAGGGAAGCCAGACTCTAATAAAATTTCTTTTTTTTTTTTTTTGAGACGAAGTTTTGCTCTTGTTACCCAGGCTGGAGTGCAATGGCACGATCTCGGCTCACTGCAACCTCCGCCTCCTGGGTTCAAGCAATTCTCCTGTCTCAGCCTCCTGAGTAGCTGGGATTACAGGCACGCGCCACCATGCCCAGCTAATTTTTTGTATTTTTAGTAGAGATGGGGTTTCACCACATTGACCAGGATGGTCTCGATCTCTCGACCTCGTGATCCACCCGCCTCGGCCTCCCAAAGTGCTTGGATTACAGGCTTGAGCCACCGCGCCCGGCTCTAATAAAATTTCATCATGGCCGGGTGCAGTGGCTCATGCCTATAATCCCAGCACTTTGGGCGGCCAAGGTGGGAGGATCATCTGAGGTCAGAAGTTTTGAGACCAGCTTTGCCAACATGGTGAAACCCTATCTCTACTAAAAATACAAAAATTAGCCAGGTGTGGTGGCGGGTGCCTATAATCCCAGTTATTCCAGAGGCTGAGGCAGGAGAATCGCTTGAACCCTGGAGGTGGAGGTTGCAGTGAGCCAAGATCGCGCCACTCCCCTCCAGCCTGGGCGGCAGAGCAAGATTCCGTCTCAAAAAAAAAAAGAAAAAAAAAATTCTGCTGGGTGCGGCAGCTCACACCTGTAATCCCAGCACTTTGGGACGCTGAGGTGGGTGGATCATGAGGTCAGGAGTTACCAACCAGCCTGATCAACAAGGTGAAACCCCTTCTCTATTAAAAACATGAAAATTAGCTGGATATACTGGTGCGCCCCTATAATCCCAGCTACTCAGGAAGCTGAGTCAGGAGAATTGCTTGAACCCGGGTGGGGGAGTTTGCAGCGAGCCGAGACTGCACCACAGCACTCCAGCCTGGGTGACAGAGTGACTTTGCCTCAAAAAAAGGAAAAAACATTTCAGCACCATTAACATCTGGAGTCTTTAAAATCAGAGGTCAAATTGCAATTCCTTTGCTGCATGGAGTCCTATCAACAGACACGGCAAGCTTGGGATGGGCTTTTCTAACCCCTTTGACAGAAACTGGGGCTGTATAAACAAGGTTCTTTGCAGCAGGACATCACGGTAGAAGACGATGTCCCATCCAGACGTCCATCAGCAGGACTGCAATGAAGCACGGCCCAGTCATGCAGAGCGACGCTCCCTAGCCACCCTGAGGAAGGAGGCGGCTTTGTGTGCCTGATGCCAACTGGTCCCCGAGCTACCCTGAGCAATGCTGTGTGCAGGGGGCGTACCCAGTGGGCTTCTTTCAGTTGGGTGAGGGTTTCTTGAGTTTTTGCTTTATTGTTCTCGTAATTGTACATGTAGGTTTTATATACACTTCTATGTGTGTATGACACACACACAGACACACACACACACACACACAGCAAAGTACAACACAGCGGGAAAGCACCCTACATAGGATTCAGAAAGGACACATTGACCAGGTGCGGTGGCTCACGCCTGCAATCTCAGCACTTTAGAAGGCCGAGGCAGGTGGATCACCTGAGGTCATGAGTTCTAGATCAGCCTGATCAACATGGTGAAACTCCTTCTCTACTAAAAATACAAAAATTAGCTGGGTGTGGTGGCACATGCCTGTGGTATCAGCTACTCGGGAGGCTGAGGCAGGAGAATCACTTAAACACAGGAGGTGGAGGTTGCAGTGAGCTGAGATTGCGCCACTGCACTCCAGCCTGGGTGACAGGGTAAGACCTTGGCCCAAATAAAAACAACACAATCAGCCGGGTTCGGTAGCTCACGCCTGCAATCCCAGCACTTTGGGAGGCTGAGGTGAGTGGATCACCTGAGGTCAAGAGTTCAAGACTAGCCTGGCCAACACAGTGAAACCCCGTCTCTATTAAAAATACAAAAATTAGGCTGGGCGTGGTGGCTCAAGCCTGTAATCCCAGCACTTTGGGAGGCCGAGGCGGGTGGATCATGAGGTCGAGAGATCGAGACCATCCTGGTCAACATGGTGAAACCCCGTCTCTACTAAAAATACAAAACATTAGCTGGGCATGGTGGCACGTGCCTGTAATCCCAGCTACTCAGGAGGCTGAGGCAGGAGAATTGCCTGAACCCAGGAGGCGGAGGTTGCGGTGAGCCGAGATCGTGCCATTGCACTCCAGCCTGGGTAACGAGAGCGAAACTCCGTCTCAAAAAAAAAAAAAATTAACTGGGCGTGGTGGCGCATGGCTGTAGTCCCAGCTACTTGGGAGGCTGAGGCAGGAGAATTGCTTGAACCTGGGAGGTGGAGGTTGTAGTGAGCCAAGATTGTGCCACTGCACTCCAGCCTGGCGACAGGGCGAGACTCTGTCTCAAAAAAACAAACAAACAAACATGCTCACAGGTGAGTGAGTCTTCCCTTACTAAGATTTTGGGGACCACCCCGCGGCTACTGGGGACAGACCCTCAAGCCTCCTGATGCAGACACAGCTCCCGCATACAGTGGCCTCGCCAAAAGCTAACCTTGATTCTCACGAAGCCTGCAGGCCAGGGTTCTGCAATCTCAGCACAGTTGACATTTGGGGCCAAATAAGGTTTTGTTTTTCTGTGCATCGTAGACGGTTTACGGCATCCCATGCTTCCACCCGCCAGATGCCAGCAGCACCCCCAAGTTGTCACAACCCCAAATGTCTCAAGCCACTGCCAAATGTCCCCTGGGGCGGGGCGGGGAGGTGAAACTGTCCCAGATGAGAGTCACTGCTACAGATCCAAACACTGACGTAAAAAAACTCAGACGGCAGAGGAGCACGTTTAAAATAAAGTGTTAAAAATCTGGAAGGTAGGAAACTCTGTAAGACAAATGAATAAATTACAATGGGACTAAAAAAAAGAGATGGCTGAGTAGTACCCAGGAAATTTAACCATTTACTGGATATTTGATATTTAAAAAAAAAAGATTAGGTGTGCTAACTGTATTCTGGCTATTTTAAAAGTCTCTACTTGGCCGGGCACAGTGGTCCATGCCTGTAATCCCAGCACTTTCGGAGGCCGAGGCAGGTGGATCACCTGAGGTCGGGAGTTCGAGACCAGCCTCACCAACATGGAGAAACCCTGTCTTTAATAAAAATACAAAATTAGCCATGCATAGTACAGCATGTCTGTAATCCCAGCTACTCGGGAGGCCAATGCAGGAGAATCACTTGAAGCTGGGAGGCAGAGGTTGCAGAGAGCCCAGATCACACCATTGCACTCCAGCCTGGGTGACAAGAGTGAAACTCCGTCTCAAAAAAAAAAAGAAGTCTCTACTTTTGGAGATACAAATTGAAATATTTATGGATAAAATGCTACATATAGTGGGTTAAATGGCAGCCTCCCTCAAAGATGTGTTCGTATCCCAGAACTTGTGAACGTGACCCTGTTTGAAAAACAGTGTTTTGTAGATGTAATTATGTTAAGGCTCCCAAGATTACATGACCCTGAGTATCCGAGAGGGACCTAAATCCAATGAGAAGTGCCCTTCGAGGAGACACATGGAGGAAAGGCCAAGGGAAAAGGGAGGCAGAGACTCCCTCTGCTGTGGAGTGATGCAGCCACAAGCCAAGGGAAGTTGGAGCCTCCCGGAGTGGGACGAGGCCAGGAAGGGCCCCTGAGTGCAGTGAAGGCACCACCCTGCCAATGCCTTGATTTCAGCTTCTGGCCTCCCAAGCTGGGAAAGAACAAATCTCTATTGTCTCAAGCCCCTCAGATTGTGGTCATTTGTATGGCATCCCCAGGCAACTGGCACAGATTCATTCTTTTTTTTTTTTTTTTTTTTTTTGAGACGGAGTTTCGCTCTTGTTACCCAGGCTGGAGTGCAATGGCGCGATCTCGGCTCACCGCAACCTCCGCCTCCTGGGTTCAGGCAATTCTCCTGCCTTAGCCTCCTGAGTAGCTGGGATTACAGGCACGTGCCACCATGCCCAGCTAATTTTTTGTATTTTTAGTAGAGACGGGGTTTCACCATGTTGACCAGGATGGTCTTGATCTCTCGACCTCGTGATCCACCCGCCTCGGCCTCCCAAAGTGCTGGGATTACAGGCTTGAGCCACCGCGCCCGGCCTTTTTTTTTTTGAGACTGAGTTTCGCTCTTGTTACCCAGGCTGGAGTACAATGGCGCGATCTCGGCTCACCGCAACCTCCGCCTCCTGGGTTCAGGCAATTCTGCCTCAGCCTCCTGAGTAGCTGGGATTACAGGCACACACCACCATGCCCAGCTAATTTTTTGTATTTTTAGTAGAGACGGGGTTTCACCATGTTGACCAGGTTGGTCTCGATCTCTCGACCTCGTGATCCACCCGCCTCGGCCTCCCAAAGTGCTGGGATTACAGGCTTGAGCCACCGCGCCCGGCCGGCACAGATTCATTCTACGAAGGATTTGCTTCAAAATGACCCAGGTGTGGGAAGGAGACCAGCAGCTGAGATAATCCAAGACCGACCAGGGGTGAGCAGTGTCGGAGCTGGCAACGGGCACGTGGGGATTCGTCGGACTGTTCTCTTTACTTTTGCACATGTTGGAATTTTTCACAACAACCTTTTTTCCTCTATAAAACATTTAAGGTTTGGCAGAGCTAGAAAAGGCAGGGTGGCGGGGTGGAACAAAACAAGAAAAGAAAAATAAATGTAAATTTTAAGAAAAGAAGAAAAAACAAATAAGGAGAAAAGTCTGACATTCTGCAGAATAGCTGAGTTCAGTTCCTCTGCCGCAGCAGCTGCATTTCAAGTGCTCAGCAGCCACAGGTGGTTAGTGGCCACTGCACCAGACCGTGCACTGGAATTTTCCTCATTCCAGAAAGTTCTATCAGTTGCACCACAGAGACCCCCTCAGGAGGTGAGAGACGCTCCCATCTCTCTCTACCCTGGAGAGCCACAGGCAGACGCTGCCCGGGCGGGGCGTACCTGGTTCTTTTTCTCCTTCTGTTCTAAGATTTTCTGCAGCACTTTTCTCTCCTTCTTGGTCAGAGGCTTCCTCTGCCTCTGTGACAGGGCAGGGGCTTTGGACTTCTTCTTCTTCTTCCCCGGTAGAACGAGCGGGTTGCTTGCATCAACTCCCTTCAACGTGTCCTTTTCTGAAAGAGCACAGACGCTTATGAAGGCCCCATTCTCTGGAGGTGGCTCTGGGCCCGCCTCCCACAGGCCCTCTGACCTGCATGGGGGCCTCCTGAGCTGGGAGGTCAAATCTGTTTTCATAACAATACTGTTACAGGCCGGGCGCGGTGGCTCAAGCCTGTAATCCCAGCACTTTGGGAGGCCGAGGCGGGTGGATCACGAGGTCAAGAGATCGAGACCATCCTGGTCAACATGGTGAAACCCCGTCTCTACTAAAAATACAAAAAAGTAGCTGGGCATGGTGGTGCGTGCCTGTAATCCCAGCTACTCAGGAGGCTGAGGCAGGAGAATTGCCTGAACCCAGGAGGCGGAGGTTGCGGTGAGCCGAGATCGCGCCATTGCACTCCAGCCTGGGTAACAAGAGCGAAACTCCGTCTCAAAAAAAAAAAAAAAAAAAAAAAATACTGTTATATAACAATACCCAAGGCCTGGCGCAGTGGCTCACACCTTAATCCCAGCACTTTGGGAGGCGACGACGGTGGATCACTTGAGGTCAGGAGTTTGAGACCAGCCTGGCCTACATGGTAAAACCCTGTCTCTACTAAAAATACAAAAATTAGCCAGGTGTGGTGGTGGATGCCTGTAATCTCAGTCACTTGGGAGGCGGAGGCAAGAGAATTTCCTGAACCTGGGAGGTGGAGGTTGCAGTGAGCCGAGATGATGCCACTGCACTCCAGCCTGAGTGACAGAGCAAGACTCTGTCTCAAAAAACTACCCCTCCGACAAAAGAAAAACAATACTATGATGTTCTCTTTTTGTTTTTTGAGATGGAGTCTTGTCTGTCGCCCAAGCTAGAGTGTAGTGGTGCGATCTCGGCTCACTGCAATCTCCACATCCTGGGTTCCAGTCATTCTCCTGCCTCAGCCTCCTGGTAGCTGGCATTACAGGTATGTGCCACCACGCCCACTGATTTTTGTATTTTTAGTACAGACAGGGTTTTACCATGTTGGCCAGGCTGGTCTTGAACGTCTGACCTCAAGTGATCTGCTAGCCTCAGCCTCCCTAAGTGCTGGGATTACAGGTATGAGCCACCATGACCGGCCTGATGTTCTCTTACGTGTACAGTGGGACCGGGCGTGGTGGCGCATACCTGTAATCACAGCACTTTGGGAAGACCACCTGAGGCCAAGAGTTGGGAGCCAACCTGGCCAACACGGCAAAACCCCATCTCTACAAAAAACACAAAAGCGAGCCAGGTGTGATGGCACACATCTGTAATCTCAGCTACACAGGAGGCTGAGGCACGAGAACGGCTTGAACCCGGGAGGCAGAGGTTGCGGTGAGCAGAGACCACGCCACTGCACTCCATCCTGGACGACGGAACAAGGCTCTGTCTCACAACAAAAGAAAGAGTGTATAGTGGTCTAGGCTAAGTTTGTGTCATACCTATTTCTAAGCATAATAGTTCGAACGTATGCATCCCAGACCATTTTAGAAAAATTCAGTCATCATATCACTCTTCACCTCCACCAAGCACAGAGTCTTAGGTAGGATGGGCCTTGGCAGATGTGTGTGTCTGTCTGACGTCTGATGCTGGGGTTGGCTCTCTGGTGTTCCTGTGTGGGCAGTATCTGATTCTTTGATAAACTGCTTGGTTTTTACGTCTTTATGTTACAAAGAGGACCAGTTTTGTGACCCTAATTAAGTACAATGGGCTGGGTGCGGTGGCTCACGCCTGTAATCCCAGCGCTTTGGGAGACTGAGGCAGGCAGATCACTTGAAGTCAGGGGTTCGAAATCAGCCTGGCCAACATGGTGAAACCCCATCTCTACTGAAAATACAAAAATTAGCCAGGCGTGGTGGCGTGCACCTGTAATCCTACCCACTTGGGAAGCAGAAGCAGGAGAATCGCTTGAGGCAGCGGTTGCAGTGAGCTAAGATCGAGTCATTGCATTCCAGCCTGGGCAACAAGAACAAGACTATCTCAAAAAAAAAAAAAAAAAAAAAAAAAGAAAGAAAGAAAAGAAAAAACCAAAACCAAAAAAAAAAAAAAAGATCATTACAAAAAATTTCCTTTCTTGATATATATTTTTTAAATTCTTTTAAAAATGTTTTGGTTTTTCTCCTCAAATCCCTTTTAGCCATACATTTCTCTTTGATGAAATACTGTTAAGCAATCCAAGCTAGCCCCTTTTTCTCCCTATCCTGTAGTTCTCAAATAGAACTAAAAGAAAACACAAGAGGGTCAGAGAACAGTGGTGTGGTGTTTTTCTACAGGCTCCAAACTGTGATAATGTTGTTGCTGATGGCTAGTGGAGCACATGCTTGCACCTATAATTTTGTGTTGCAAAAATATCTAGGTTTTAATTTCCAGTACGGTAACTATCAATTGATAAAACCCACACAGTCAAAAACTCTTTGGGGTCTCGATTTTTTAAGAATTCTAAAAGGATCCTCAGGCCAAAAAGTCTGAGAACCACTATGATAAGAATAAGAAATTGTGTTAAGAACAAGGAAGTGAAGCCGGGCGCGGTGGCTCAAGCCTGTAATCTCAGCACTTTGGGAGACCAAGGCGGGTGGATCACGAGGTCGAGAGATCGAGACCATCCTGGTCAACATGGTGAAACCCCATCTCTACTAAAAATACAAAAAATTAGCCGGGCATGGTGGTGCGTGCCTGTAATCCCAGCTACTCAGGAGGCCGAGGCAGGAGAATTGCCTGAGCCCAGGAGGCGGAGGTTGCGGTGAGCCGAGATCGCGCCATTGCACTCCAGCCTGGGTAACAAGAGCGAAACTCCGTCTCGAAAAAAAAAGAACAAGGAAGTGGGCTCATGCCTGTAATCCCAGCACTTTGGGAGAACTAGGCGGTGGATCACCTGAGGTCAGGAGTTTGAGACCAGCCTATGAAAACCCATCTCTGCTAAAAATACAAAAATTAGCTGGGCGTGGTAGGGCCCGTAATCCCAGCTGCTCAGGAGGCTGAGGCAGGAGAATCACTTAAACCCAGGAGGCAGAGGTTGCAGTGAGCACTCCAGCCTGGGTGAGAGAGAGAGAGACTTGGTAACAAAAGAAGGAAAAAAAAAAGAGTGAGTGAGTGGATACAGATATCAGATGGTTGTTGGGAAGACTCTTCAAAGAAGGCATCTGACACATTCTTTATTTTTTTTTTTTTTTGAGAAAAAGTCTTGCTCTGTCTCGAGGCTGGAGCACAGTGGCACAGTCTCGGCTCACTGCAACCTCCGCCTCCCGGGTTCAAGCGATTTTTCCACCTCAGCCTCCCAAGTAGCTGGGACTACAAGTGGGTGCCAAACACCCAGGTAATTTTTTTTTTTTTTTTGGAGACGGAGTTTCGCTCTTGTTACCCAGGCTGGAGTGCAATGGTGCGATCTCGGCTCACCGCAACCTCCGCCTCCTGGGTTCAGGCAATTCTCCTGCCTCAGCCTCCTGAGTAGCTGGGATTACAGGCACGCGCCACCATGCCCAGCTAATTTTTTGTATTTTTAGTAGAGACGGGGTTTCACTTGTTGACCAGGATGGTCTCGATCTCTCGACCTCGTGATCCACCCGCCTCGGGCTCCCAAAGTGCTGGGATTACAGGCTTGAGCCACCGCGCCCGGCAATTTTTGTATTTTTAGTAGAGACAGGGTTTCACCATGTTGGCCAGGATGGTCTCAACCTCCTGACCTCGTGATCCACCCGCCTCGGCCTCCCAAAGTGCTGGGATTACAGGCGTGAGCCACCGCGCCTGGCTGGCATCTGACTCATATTCTTATGAGATTCCTCTGGCCCCTGACAAAGGCAGGGATACCTGGAAACATCCTGTTCTGATGTAAGAAATAACTTTCCCCAAATCTCCGGGTCTCAAAGACCTCAGCTCCTCTGCTCAGAGGGCCTAGTTTCAAGTGTTAGTCCAGTGTCCATGGCTGTCTTTGAAGCGCCATCCTGAACTGTCTCTGCCATAATTGTCACAGAATTGTCACCTATCCCGAGATACACCCCACCTCTGTAACCCTCTCTTCACTTTTCAAAGCATTCTCGTTTCAGTCACCAACATATTTTCCCAAATTACCACCTCTGAAACCCTGATAGCAGGTAGGACAGCTACGACAGGTTGAATATCCCTGATCAGAAATGCGTGGGACCAGATGTGTTTTAGATTTGGGAATATCTGTATTGTATTTACTTGTTGAGCATCCCTAATCCAAAAATCTGAAATCTGGAGTGCTCCCACGAGCATTTATTTCCTTTGAGTGTCATGTTGACATTCAAAAACTTTTGAATTTTGGAACATATTGGATTAAGGACCCTCAACGTGTGCTAATGGCCCCATTCTGCAGATGTGAAAACGAAGGTGCACAGACGTTACGGGATCTGCCTCAGCTCCCAGGCTGGAGTGCGGTGGCGTGGATCTTGGCTCATGGCAAACTCCGCCCTCTGAGTTTAAGCCATTCTCCTGCCTCGGCCTCCCGAGTAGCTCCTGTCTCTTGAGTATCTGCCAAATTCTCCATGTGGTGCCTGCCACCATGCCCGGCTAGTTTTTGTATTTTAGTAGAGACAGGATTTCACCGTGTTGGCCAGGCTGGTCTGAAACTCCTGACCTCAACTGATTTGCCTGCCTTAGCCTCCTAAAATGCTGGGATTACAGGCGTGAACCACCATGCCCAGCCTTCTGTGCAACTTCGGAGGCATGAACTCAGACTTCCAGATTTCCACTCTAACATTCTTCCCTATACCTTCACCGCCTTCCAGGTCCACCAACAGTGTGGAAGAGAATGCTGATTGGGGGATGGAAGGAAGTAAACTCCTCCAGCAGCCCTGGTGACCCTGCTTTCTGTTTCTAGAATCTTTCTTTTTTTTTTTTTTGAGATGGAGTTTCGCTCTTGTTACCCAGGCTGGAGTGCAATGGCGCGATCTCGGCTCACCGCAACCTCCGCCTCCTGGGTTCAGGCGATTCTCCTGCCTCAGCCTCCCGAGTAGCTGGGATTACAGGCACGCGCCACCATGCCCAGCTAATGTTTTGTATTTTTAGTAGAGACGGGGTTTCACCATGTTGACCAGGATGGTCTCGCTCTCTTGACCTTGTGATCCACCTGCCTCGGCCTCCCAAAGTGCTGGGATTACAGGCTTGAGCCACCGCGCCCGGCCCTAGAATCTTTCTTAATAGCCAAATCAGCCTGGCCCTTGGTGTCTTACACAAGTGGCTGGATGAGTTCAATTTTAGAACATGTTTAGTTTCAGGGGCCTGCAGGACATCCTTGAACTCACACAACTGCTTCACTACAAGCCTCCTCCAAACCAGCCCTACTGAGGTGCTCACTGCCCTCCCAGTGTTAAATCCAGTGGTCCTTCCCTCCCTTCCTGATTCCAAAGCAGCACCTGACCCACAGCGAGAGTCCTTCTCCCTGGCCCCAGGATAATTATACTCTTGCAGCTCACCACACATGTTCTGGGCCGCTCCATCTCCCTTGCAGGCTCCTTATTTCCCTCTTCTCCAGGGTTGGACTCCTGCCCTCAGTCATCTGACTTTAAATAAATACCTAGGGCCAGGCGCGGTGGCTCAAGCCTGTAATCCCAGCACTTTGGGAGGCCGAGGTGGGTGGATCACAAGGTCAAGAGATTGAGACCATCCTGGTCAACATGGTGAAATCCCATCTCTACTAAAAATACAAAACATTAGCTGGGCATGGTGGCGCGTGCCTGTAATCCCAGGTACTCAGGAGGCTGAGGCAGGAGAATTGCCTGAGCCCAGGAGGCGGAGGTTGCGGTGAGCCGAGATCACGCCATTGCACTCCAGCCTGGGTAACAAGAGCGAAACCCCGTCTCAAAAAAATAAATAAATAAAATAAATAAATAAGTATCTATATATTGATGACTCCAAAATGGGTATCTCCACCTGGACTTGCATCTCTTGAGTATCTAAGTGAACAGCTGTCTGCCTACCCTCCCTGCCCGGATATCTAATAGGCCCCAAACCACCCAAACCCTAAGCTGACTTCTTGGTCCTCCCCACAAGCTGCCCACTCAACTCCTGGGAGTCATTCTTTGTCACCTCCACTGTTTTGGTGCACAAGCCCAGTCAGGCCACAAATACTGCCAGCTCAGCCTTCAAAACACATCTTGAGCTAGGCGTCATGGTTCATGTCTGTAACCCCAGCACTTTTGGAGGCTAAGGCGAGCGGATCACGAGGTCAGGGGTTTGAGACCAGCCTGAACAACATGGTGAAACCCCGCCTCTACTTAAAAATACAAAAATTAGGCGGGTGTGGTGGTGCACACCTGTAATCCCAACTACTTGGGAGGCTGAGGCAGGAGAATTGCTTAAACCTGGGAGGTGGAGGTTGCAGTGATCCGAGAGCGGGCCATTGCAATCCAGCCTGAGGGACAGAGTGAGACTCTGTCTCAAAAAAAAAAAACACATCTTGAATCCACCCACTTCTCACCTCCCTGCTGCTGCCCCCTGGTCCAAGCATCAGCTCCACCACCTCCTGCTGCTGGTTCTACCTTTGATCTCTACTGGTTTTCCTCAACACAGCACCCAAAGTGATGCTGTTAAAATATAAGCCCTCATCTGTCCTCCTCTGCTCTAAACACTCCCACAGCTGCCCTCTCACTTAGAGGAAAAGCCCCAGTCCTGGCCAAGACCCCAGTCCAGGCCAACCTGCCCTGGCCCCCTGTTTTTTCTCTCAACTTCAGGCAGCCACTCTGGCCTCCTTCAGATCTTAACTCTAACACAGTGAAGTCTTCTCCAGCAACTCTGTGGGACGTTGCAAGTCACCCAATGGCTTCTTCTGTTTTATCTGCCCACTGTATCCACAGAACTTTCTATGTTTTACATGTTATTGTTTGCCTGTCGCCTCTTATAAGCAGATAAACTCAGGGATTTTCTAAAAATCTCCCTTTCTGGTGTGTCTCCAGTGCCTAGAATAGTGCCTGGCATGTAATAGGAGTTACTACTAAAAAGGGGTCTGAGAGAAATGTCAGCCAGCCTGCAAGCTGAACAGACAAGACTAGGCTGGAAAAAAAAAAAACAACCACATTTGGGGCTCCCTGGAGATTATAAAGAGATTATAATCGAAGTCATGGGAACGGATGAAACTACTTATTGATTGATTGATTTTTTTGCAAAATTCTCCATGTTACTATTTGAGGGCGAGAGAAACCCCGGGTATTCCATATACACTGTTAAAACTAGGCTGTCACTAAGCCCCTCTCCTTTGGATCATCTGGAATGGTGGGGGATCCATTCCCCCACTCCGCACGATCCATCCCACCTCTCTGGGACCCCTCATCCCAGAGTCCTGAAGGCAGGGCACAGATCCCCCTGGGAAGTCCCCGAAATCCAGCCCCCGTCCAGAGACATCTTACCCTCTAGTTCCAGCTGTACAAGGGGCGGCTCGGGGGGATCCTTCGAGGGGCCGGGACCCGCCTGCTGGCGCCCCTTGATGTTGTACCGCCGGCGTAACTTCCCCATGGCGCCTCGGCCCGGTGGGGGCTCCAGCGGACCGGACAAGCAGAGCAATCCTAAGCCCAGCCCACGTGGGTTCCCGAACTACCAACTCCCGCCGTGAGACTTCCGGGTTTCGCTATCGCGAGAACCGTAACTAACTCTGCCGCTGAGGGGCGGGGTTGGAAGAGAAACCAAGAGAGGAGAAGAGAGGAGAAGCCGGCCGGGGCCGGGCCGGGGCGGGGCCGGGGCGGGGGCGGGGCTATTTAGAGAGGTGGGCGGGGCCTGAGATCCCAGCGCTGGCCCGGGAGTTTCAGACCCGGGTTCTTCTCGCTTCGGGTAGTCTGAGTTTAACTCTGAATTATATCTAATGATACTAATTTGGCTGCTTGGGAGTGAGAGTGTTTTGCCACCTTTTAAAATATGTCCCTGCCCCCAATACTCCAGACTTCTTCCCCCAACTCTCGTTTGCGCATCTGCATTTTCTGATATTCCTACAAGAAACATATTAGTCGTCTAATTTTAAAAAGGCACCAACTATTTCCATCACAGGGACAGATGGAAGATCTAAAAGGAGGCCTCTATTAGACAACTTTAAATTCCTATTACTGCATCACATTGTAATGCACCCGGAAACAATGCATCACTATTTTTCTTTTTTTGAGACAAGGTCTGCCTTTGTGGCCCAGGCTGGAGGATAGTGGAACAATCTCGGCTCACTGCAAGCTCTGCCTCCTAGAATCAAATGATTCTCCTGCCTCAGCCTCCCAGGTAGCTGGGACTACAGGGCCCGCCACCATGCCCAGCTACTTTCTGTATTTTCGTAGAGACAAAGTTTCACCATGTTGGCCATGCTGGTCTCGAACTCTTGACCACAGGTGTTCTGCCTGCCTCGGCCTCCCAAAGTGCTGGGACTATAGGCGTGAGCCACCGCGCCCAGCCTTTTTTTTTTTTTTTTTTTGAGGAGATGAGGTCTGGGCCTGTCTGCCAGGCCAGAGTGCAGTGGTGCAATCACGACTCAATGCAGCCTTGACCTCTCGTCCTGAGTAGCTAGGACCACAGGCACACGCCACCACGACCAGCTAATTTTTCTATTTTTTTTTTTGTAGAGATGGGGTCTCCCTATGTTGCCTAGGCCAGTTTCAAATTCCTGGGCTCAAGGGATCCGCTTGTCTCAGGCTCCCAAAGTGCTGGAATTACAGGCACGAGCCACCTCAAAGGCCTTAATGACATTAAAAATAATCATAATTAGTATATCAAATCTGTGGGGTTTTTTGTTTGTTTGTTTTTTGAGATGGAGTTTTGCTCTTGTTGTCCAGGCTGGAGTGCAATGGTGCAATCTCAGCTCATCACAACCTCTGCCTCCTGGGTTCAAGCGATTCTCCTGCCTCAGCCTCCTGAGTAGCTGGGATTACGGCCATGTGCCATTACGCCCGGCTAATTTTGCATTTTTAGTAGACACGGGGTTTTTCCATGTTGGCCAGGCTGGTCTCTAACTCCTGACCTCAGGTGATCCTCCCGCCTTGGCCTCCCAAAGTACTCGGATTACAGGTGTGAGCATCGGTGCCGGGCCTGCTTTTGTTTTTTTGAGACAGAAGTCTCCTTGTTGCTCAGGCTGGAGTGTAGTGAAGCAGTCTCCGCTCACTGCAACCTCCACACCTCAGGTTTCAGCGATTTTCCTGTCTTGGCCTCCCAAGTAGCTGGGATTACAGGCACCCGTCACCATGCCCATCTAATTTTTGTATTTTTAGTAAGGATGAGGTTTTACTATGTTGGCCAGGCTGGTCTCAAACTACTGACCTCAATTATCCGTTCGCCTTGGCCTCTCAAAGTGATGGGATTATGGGCCTGAGCTACTGTACCCAGGCTCAAATCTGTGTTTTTATGGATTTTGTTAGGATGACAGTGATCTAAAGTTTCTTCTTTAAATGTTTATTTAAATAAATTAAAAGTTTACGAAATGTTGATGAAACCTTAAGTAGGTAGTGGTACATGTGCCTGTATTTCCTACTAAAATGCAATTTGTTCTAAATTTGTACCTTCCAGAAGATATAAAGACCATCCTAGACAGCAAAAAGAAGGCAGATACAGGCTGGGTGTAATGGTTCACGCCTGTAATCCCAGCACTTTGGGAGGCCGAGGAGGGCTGATCACCTTGAGGTCGGGAGTTCGAGCCCAGGCTAACCAAAATGGAGAAACCCCTTCTCTACTAAAAATACAAAATTAGACAGGTATGGGAGCATATGCCTGTAAACCCAGCTACTTGGGAGGCTGAGGCAGGAGAATCACTCGAAACTGGGAATCCGAGGTTGCAGTGAGCCGAGATCGCGCCACTACACTCCAGCCTGAGCAACAGAGTGAGACTCTGTCTCAATAAATAAATAAATAAAGTTGAACCAAAAAAAGCCAACCCCTAGACTCATACTGTGTGGTTCCATTTATATAAACTTCAAACGCAGGCAAAATGAATACCCTAAGTTTTAAGAGGGACATAGTGAATGGCAGGGGTCAAAGGGGGCTTTGGGGGGAACTAGTAATATATCATTTCCCGATCTGAGTGCTGGTTACCTTGTATTCAGTTTCTGAAAATTCATAAAACTTACATGATTTTGTATTTTTCTGTATGTTATACCTTAATTTTAGAAGTTTATTATTATTATCATCTTTTGTAGATCACTATGTTGGCCAGGCTGGTCTCGAACTCCTGTGCTCAAGCAATCCTGCCTTGGACTACCAAAGCAGGTGTGAGTCACTACACATGGTCTAAAAAAAGTTTTGTTTTTTGGTTTTTGGTTTTTTTTGAGATGGAGTTTTGCTCTTGTTGCCCAGGCTGGAGTGCAATGGCGAGATCTCGGCTGACCGCAAACTCGGCCTCCTGGGTTCAAATGATTCTCCTGCCTCAGCCTCCCCAGTAGCTGGGATTACAGGCATGCACCCCCATATGCCTGGCTCATTTTGTATTTTTAGTAGAGATGGGGTTTCTCCATGTCGGTCAGGCTGGTCTTCAACTCCTAACCTCAGGTGATCTGCCCCCTCGGCCTCCCAAAGTGGTGGGATTACAGCCATGAGCCACTACATCAGGCCTACAAAAAAGTTTTTAAAGATATAAATAACACAGGAAAAAAGTGTGCAAAGGATATGACTAGGTAATTCACAGAGAAGTAACTCAAATGGCCAAATACATCCATGAAAACCTTACCAGGAATCCAAAAAATGTAAATTCAAGGAAAAAAAAAAAAAGCATTTTCTATTCTTTGGATTGGCAAAAATTGAGTTTTATTTTCTTGGTTGTCTAAAAAAATGTTGGTTAGACTTGATTTGTTTGATTTAGGATGCAAACAGGGTCCTTGCGTTGCATAGGTTATTATGGCTCTTAAGTCTTTAAGACCAGTTATTCTCTTCTCCGCTCACCTTTTATGGCGCTTACTTACTGAACAAATTGGGTCCCTGTCTCGTAGAGTGCCCCACATGCTGGAGTTGGCTGGTTGCTTCTGCTGCTTCTGTGTTTCCCTTATCTCCCATATTTCCTGTAAACTGTAGGTTTGATCTAGAGGCCCCCATCAGGTTCCTGCTTAACGTGTCTTGGCAAGGCTCCATCGCAGGTGGCGCTGGTACTTCCTGGCACTAAGGTCGATTGGCGGGACCGGGACTTCGCGGCTTGGCCCCTCCATTTTCTTTTTTTTCTTTTTTCTTTTTTTTTTTGGCCCCTACATTTTCAAGTTCCCCACCAAACCCTCGCCTCTCGGTTTTACCCCTTTCTGATGATTGTCTCGTGAATCCATGATTCCATTGAGGGGTGCCAAATAACTTTGGAATTGTCTCATTCGTCCTCATGTATTAGCTGGACTTTGCTAAAAGAAAGTTTCCTTCCTCATCCATTTTGGGGCTCTGAAATACAGTTCAGGAAGGGCAGGAGGATGCTTGATGCTTTCTTGTTGTTTAAAATTTGCAGAACGAATGACCTGATGCCCAGGAGGGCCAATTTTGGGGGTACTATTATAATAAATTCAGGGAGATTACATATACGTCTACCTCCTGTTTTTCAATCAGCAGCAGTCACCCGGTTGAAGCTGCTGCAAGTTTTACAGGCACGGGTTGCGTTTCCACGGATAACTTAAAAAAGAGAATTATTTTTTTAAAATGATGAGGAGCCGCACGGGCTCCGGCTGGCTTCCGGAAGGCGGGCGCGGGGCCCCGGGGCCGGGTAGCGTGGGTCCCGCGCCGGGGGCGGGGCGCGGCGTGGGCTGGGCCGTGGCGCCTTTGTGCGCGGGGCGGGGCGGGTGGCGCAGCGGCGGCGGCGGCGGCGGCGGCGGTGGGTAAAAGCGCGGCGCGCGGCCCCCGAGCGCGCCAACCCTGTCCTCGCCGGAGCCCGCGGCGGCCCAGCGCCTGGTCCTCGCCCCGCACCGCGACCCCGCACCCCGCCGGCCGAGCATGGGCGCGCGCGCCTCAGGCGGGCCTGTGGCCCGGGCCGGGCTTCTGCTGCTGCTGCTGCTGCTGCTCGGGCTGCTGGCCGCTGGCGTGCAGGGGGCTCGGGGCCGCAGCGGCGCCGAGAAGAACAGCTACCGCCGCACGGTCAACAGCTTCTCGCAGAGCGTCAGCAGCTTGTTCGGCGAGGACAACGTGCGCGCCGCTCAGAAGGTGGGCGCCGGGCCCGCGCCCACGGTCACCTTGCCCCGGCCGCCGCGCACCTGGCGCCAGGGGCCGGCCTGAGAGGAGCGCGGCCTCCGGAGTTGCCCGGCCGGCCGGCGCGCGGGAAGAGGGGGTCCGGCCTGCGCCTCGGGGCCTGCCGCTCGCGGCCCCCGCCGGGCCTGGCCAGTGCGGGTCTGGGCGGCCGGGCCTCGGGGCGCCCCGCTTCTCCTTGGACCTTGCCCCCGCGGGCGGCGCGGCCGGAGCCTCTCCCGGCTGCGCTGACGCCCGCCGCGCGTCTCATTCATTCATTGACCGCGTTTGAATGGCTCCCACTGTGAGCCAGGCGGCGCCCTCGCGCCCCGGGTCCCCACGCGGCTGCGCCCTCTCCAGCTACCCCGGGTTTGTCCTGGCCTCGCATCCCGACCCACATCCCCTGGGACCTTGTGCCCCACTCCTCCTCCTGTTTTGAAGATACGTGGAGTTGTTTTTACTTTACAGGAAAAGAAGGGAGCGAGGCTCGGTTGCTTTGGGAAACCGAGCACCTACTGTGTGCGGGGCTTTTCGCGTGGAGCCTTTTGTTTAATTTGGGATGGTCCAGGACCCTGCAGCCTCTTGGGAAGGATATTGAGTCCCAGGAGGAGCGCAGGGAGTTTTCCCCCATTTCTGCCCTCTGGAGCGGGGTGGGTTAGGGGTGCTATTCCAGGCCGAAGTCCGCCTACCAGCTCCTGAGAAGGAGGAAGTTACTGGGGACAGTTGTGTGTGGTATTGCGGTTCCTTTGCTGTTCCCTGGGGAGGAGGGGGAGTCTTGCTTGCCGCCAGCCTCCCTGGAGTTTTGGAGTCAGAGAAGTTTGGGTTCAAGTTGGAGCTCTACAAGTTGGATGGCTTTGGGCAAGTGACTTCACTTCTTTGAGCCTCAGTTTCCTTTTTTGTTAAATGGGGATAGTAATCATACTTCCTTGGCTGTGAGGTTGTATTTATGAATAGCTGATACCTTCCTGGCCCAGAATCATGGCTAAAAATTAATTTTCTGTTCATTGAGAGGGAGGGGGAAATAGAAAGGAACATTAAGGCCCAAGTCAGATTGACTGGATGTTCTTATTGGATAAAATGAAAGGTTCATTGGTTAGGAAAACAGTACCTCTTGACCCCCCTCTCCTATGGGCAGGGGGCACCTCTTGCAGAGGTGCGTCTGTGTCTTCATACATGTAGGGGAGAGACCGCTATGTAGGTGACCAAGGAGGGAGGAGGAAGCAGGGCTGAGCTCCTGAATGCTAAAGGTTGCCCCGTAGTCTGGTGGGGAGGTCAGGAGTGTGAGCGAAGGCAGTCTACACTTACTTCCTCTTGATGCAGTTCCGGAGCCATTTGAAGGTAGAAATCAATTTGTTTTAGAGCAAAAGGAAGCCTGTCTTTTTCACCCAGGGTGACCACAGGACCCCCATGTGGTGGTTGCATATGACAATCTAAGGCCAGTAAACGTGACATGTGAGTGTGGATATTTCAGACTTTTACTTAAATGAGACGATCTGTATTCTGCAGAGCATCTGAGAATCTGGTGGTCAGAGCTCTTCCTGGGGTAAACCAGGGTTTGTTCCTTTAATAGAGATGCTAATAATTACTAAGGGCTTTTGTAGATAGAATAGCCTTACATAATTCTTTTTTTTTTTTTTTTTTTTTTTTTTTTTTTGAGACGGAGTTTCGCTCTTGTTACCCAGGCTGGAGTGCAATGGTGTGATCTCGGCTCACCGCAACCTCCGCCTCCTGGGCTCAGGCAATTCTCCTGCCTCAGCCTCCTAAGTAGCTGGGATTACAGGCACGCACCACCATGCCCAGCTAACTTTTTGTATTTTTAGTAGAGACGGGGTTTCACCTTGTTGACCAGGATGGTCTCGACCTCTTGACCTCGTGATCCACCCGCCTCGGCCTCCCAAAGTGCTGAGATTACAGGCTTGAGCCACCGCGCCCGGCATCTTACATAATTCTTAGAATGACCCTGTGCCATAGGCACTGTTCCCATTTGACAGATGAAGAAACAGGCACACACAGCAGTGAAGTGGCTGGTCTCAGGTCAGGCGAGTGACAGAGCCAGGATGTGAACCCAGGCAGAGTGGGGCACGGAGCTCACATTAATATCTCTCACCTGTTTTCCTGCCTCATGACCCCTTCCCTGTTCCTCAAGTCAGTGCAGCATCCAGAGGCTGACCTGACATACTTTGTTTGTTTGTTTGTTTTTTTGAGATGGAGTCTTACTCTGTTGCCCAGGCTGGAGTGCAGTGGTGCGATCTCGACTCACTGCAACATCCGCCCCCCCCACCAGGTTCAAGCCATTCTCCTGCCTCAGCCTCCTGAGTAGCTGGAATTACAGGCACATGTCACCATGCCCAGCTAATTTTTATATTTTTAGTAGAGACGGTTTCACCATGTTGGCCAGGCTGGTCTCCATCTCCTGACCTCAAGTGATCCTCCCACCTTGGCCTCCCAAAGTGCTGGGATTACAGGCGTGAACCATGGTGCATGGCCCAGTTGCTTTACTTCTCTGTGTCTCATTTGTGCAGAGGAGATAAATTGGGGAATTAAAGGAGATCGGTTGGGCTGTACAATGCCAGGCACTGAATAAGCATTTAGTATATGGTAGAATATTTCTATATGAAAGGGATTTGTCCGGTAGGAGAGTGATAGATTTATTAATTCCTTTAAAAATTATTAAGTGATGGCAGGGCATGGTGGTTCACACCTGTAATCCCAGCACTTTGGGAGACCAAGCTGGGCAGCTCACCTCTGGTCAGGAGTTCATGACCAGCCTGGTCAACATGGCGAAAACCCATCTCTTCTGAAAATACAAACATTAGGCCAGGTGTTGTGGCTCACACCTGTAGTCCCAGCACTTCAGGAGGCTGAGGCAGGTGGATCATCTGAGGTCAGGAGCTCGAGACCAGCCTGACAAACATGGTAAAACCAATTTCTACTAAATACAAAAAATCAGCCAGGCATGGTGGTGCATGCCTGTAATCCCAGCTACTGGGGAGGCTGAGGCAGGAGAATGGCTTGAACCAGGAGGCAGAGGTTGCAGTGAGCTGAGATTATGTCATTTTACTCCAGCCTGGGCAACAAGAGGGAAACTCTGTCTCAAAAAAAAAAAAAAAAAAAAAAATTAACTGGGCGTGGTGGTATACTCCTGTAATCCCAGCTACTTGGGAGGCTGAGGCAGGAGAACAGCTTGAGCCTGGGAGGCTGACGTTGCAGTGAGCCAGGGTCATCCCATTGCACTCCAGCCTGGATGACAGACTCCGTCTCAAAAAAAATTATTAAGCGACTTATACACCTGTGTTCATAGCAACACTTTTTACAATAGCCAAAAGTGGAAATATCCCAAATGCCTATCAGGTGATGAAGAGTTAAAATGTGGTGTGTCTGTATAATGAAATACGATTCAGCCATAAAAAGGAATAAAGTATTGCTCTATGCTACTACTTGGATGAACCTCGAATAAAAAAATGGAAGAAGCCAGACTCGAAAAGCCACATATGATATGATTCCATTTATATGAAATATCTGAAATAAGAAGATCCATAGAGACAGAAGGCAGATGGGTGGTTTCCAGGCATTGGAGGGGGGGGCAATGGAGGAATTATTGCTTAGTTGATGTAGGGTTTCCTTTTGGGGTGATGACAAAGGATGGAGCTAGATAATGATGATGGTTGCATGACGTCGTGAATGTACTCACTGCCACTGAACTGTACGCTTTCAAATGGTTAAAATGGTCAACTTTATGTGTGTATGATACAATTAAAAAAAAAAAAAAACCTTGGCCTGGTGCAGTGGCTCATATCTGTAATCCCACTACTTTGAGAGGCCTAGGTGGGAGGATCACTCGAGCTCAGGAGTTTGAGACCAGCCCGGGCAATGTAGTGAGACCCCGTCTCTGCAAAACCACAAACGTCAGCCGGCGTGGTGGCACGCACCTGTGTTCCCACCTACTTGGGAAGCTACAACGGGTGGATGGCTTGAACCTGGGAGGTTGAGGCTGCAGTGAGCTGTGGTCACACCACTGTAATCCAGCCTTGGCTGGGGACAGCGCAAGATCCTGTCTCCAGAAAACCCAAACAAATGAGAATTTTCAAGCACCTGCTGTCTGTGGAGAAAATGATCCCTTGCAGGGCAGCTATAGTTGGACTGATGCGGTGGGAACATCCTGAATGCCAAGCTGAGAAACTAGTACCTTTCCCCCATGGTCATCGGTTATAGTTGGGTGGAGTACAATTTCATGTAGTTCTGAAGGTTAGAAAGCTAACTCCACTCCCACTCCTGACCCTGTCTCCCACCCACTTCCCAGAAGCAGCCAGACATTCTGAGCACGTAGAAATATCTAGACCTATAGATTCTGCTCCCTGTGGTTGGCTTTTTGTTTATTTTCTACTATGCTCACTGTTTTGTATGTTTCTTTTTTCCCCTGAGACAGAGTCTCTCTCTGTTGCCCAGGCTGGAGTGCAGTAGCTCGATCTTTGCTCACTGTGGTCTCCACTTCCCGGGCTTGAGTGATCCTTCCATATCAGCCTCCCGGGTAGGTGGGATTACAGGTGTGCACCACCACGCTCTGCTAACTCTTTTATTTTTTGTAGGGGTGACAGTTCACTATGTTGCCCAGGCTGGTCTTTAACTCCTGGGCTCCAGTGATCTACCTGCCTCAGCCTCCCAAAGTGCTGGGATTACAGGCATGAGCCACTGCGCTGGCCCGCTTTTTAAAAAATGAATAAATTTTGGAGGGCCAGGCACTTTGGGAGGTCGAGGCAGGCAGAACATCTGAGGTCAAGAGTTCGAGACCAGCCTGGCCAACATGGTGAAACCCCATCTCTACTAAAAATACAAAAATTAACTGGGCATGGTGGTGTGTGCCTGTAGTCCCAGCTACTCGGGAGGCTGAGGCAGGAGAAGCGCTTGAACCTGGGGGGTGGAGGAGATCACACCACTGCACTCCAGCCTGGGCAACAGAGTGAGACTGTCTCAAGAAAAAA